AACACATGATTATTTTTGGAATAAATTTATGCATGAACTCCTCGTTGTTTTCAATACTACATCCCTGCATCTTTAATACATGATCCGCACGCGGCGCATGTATTAAAAACGGCACTGTGCCCGCACCCCAGGCGGCCCTGGGCGGTCCCGGACGCCGCCGCACTGCGCCGCCCGAGACTCTGGGACGCCCGGCGAGCCGAGAGGACCCCGAGAAGCACCGGGAACGGTGGACGCGGGCCCCGGACCGTCGAACGATCGGCCCACGACGCCCAACGCCGGCCGACGCTGCCCCCAAAAACGCCCCAAGAGGCGTCCAAGAGGCCCTTCACGCAGCAGATAACACTGATCTGCCTCGGGATTTGGCAGATTGGGGCGTTCTCGCCGTTGCGGCTTCCGGACGCTCCAGGGCGGCCTTCGAGGCCCTAAAATCGCCCCAGCACGGCCCAGGAGGCCTCCAAAAAGGACACCCTAAACTGCTCAAGAGAAACCCGAAACTGCCCAAGAGTCGCCCAACACGGACCCATGGACCCCGAGACGGCTCCGAGAGGGGGGCCCCGACGGGAAAACTCGAGAGGACATGTCGAGCTCTCAGCGCCAGGAGGCCCCCAGGAGGCCTCCAGAGGCCCCTCCGAGGCCGCCAAGGGCACCCAAAGAGGCCCCGAAGAGGCCCCCTCCTCCTCCTCCTCCTCCTCCTCCTCCTCCTCCTCCTCCTCCCCCTCCTCCTCCTCCGCCTCCTCCTCCTCCTCCTCCTCCTCGGGAACCCCAAGAGTTCCCGAGAGGGGGCTCCCAAGAGAAACTCCCTTGAGGCCCCCAAGAAGCACCAAAACTGCCCTCGAGAGGCACCCAGAGAGACCTCAAGAAGCATCCGGGAGGACTCTGACACACAACCCAGGCACGATGGCGGGATGGGCCAAAAGCCATTGGACCTGTTTGGCATGGGGACGGAAGGAGCGGGTTCTTTCTGTGACAGCGTGAGGCCGCTCGTCGAGGACTCGATCGCCTTGGACACTTCGGAGGCCATCTTGACGCAATCCTGGGCCATCTTAGGGCCTTTTTGGGCCGCTTGTGGAGGCTTATGCAGGGCCGTCTTGAGTCGTCTTGAGGCCTCCCGGGGGCGACCACAAGACGATGTCGACCTGATCGCAATTGTTTGAGGATGTCCCTAGCGAAATCGTCATTTTGGGGCTCCAGATAGAGCCATTAGACTCTGGGCCCCCCCCTGCCTACCTCCCCACCCCCCTTGTTATTTCTCCCGACTAACGGATCGCGACGAAGCACGCTTTCCGTCATCCGCCGCCCCCTGTTGATTCATCACAGGGGTGCCTGGCGTGCTGAACCCTTTCGCTTTTGCTTTTTGTTGTCCAAAAAAAAAACTCCCCCTGGGGCTTCGGCCCGTCCCGCCGGCCATCCGAAAGGGACCCCCAACGACCGGAAAAATCCCCCAAGACGGCTCAAGATGGCCTCCAAGATGGCCACGTTGGCCTCCAAGATGGCCTCCAAGATGGCCTCCAAGTCCGCCCAAGATGGTCCGAGATGGACTCCAAGACGGCCCGAGAGAGCTCGCGATGCCTTCAAGCTCGTCCAGGAAACCTCCAAGAAGGCCCATGATGGCTTCAGGATGGCCTAAGCCTGGCCAAGAGGCCCCCAAGAGGCCTCCAAGACGTCCTCCAGGAAGGTCCGAAAGGGCCAACATCAGTGATTGTCCTTGGGTTTTTGTCCAGGAGCTTGGCATTTTCTTCTCGTCGGCTCTCCGACGGCCCAAGACGGCCCAAGAGCCCCCCAACATCGCCCCAAGATGCCTCCAAAATTGGCCCCATGGCAGTCCAAGAGGCCCCCAAGCGGGCCCCAACAAGGCCCTATGATGGCCCTAAAGGCCCCCAAGACGCCCAAGATGGCCTCCAAGACGGCCAAGATGGCCTCCAAGATGCCTCCAAGACGGCCAAGATGGCCTCCAAGACTGCGAAGATGGCCCCAAAATGCACCCAAGAGGGCCTCAAGATGGCCTAAGACTGCCCAAAAGGCCCGCAAGAGGGCTCCAAGACTGCCCAGGAGTTCTCCTAGACGTCTTCCAGGAATGCCCGAAAAGGTCAAAATGGCCTCCAGACGGCCAAGATGACCTTCAAGATGCCTCCAACACGGCCAATATGGCCTCCAAGACGGCGAAGATGGCCCCAGGATGCACCCAAGACTGCCCGAGATGGCCTCAAGATGGCCTAGGACGGCCCAAACCGCCCGCAAGAGGCCTCCAAAACGGCCCAAAAGCCCTCTAATACGTCCTCCAGGAAACCCGAAAACTCGGAAACCACCTGGTCCGATAGCTCGCCCGACTCCGTGTTCCTCGAAAGCTATCGAAACCCACTCGGGGAACGCGTGGCCCGATGGCTTGGCCAAGCTCAAACCCAACTTTCGGCCACGCACCACAAAAAACTAACAAAACCAACAAAACCAACAAACACCAAAAAAAACGAACGGCAACGACAAACCACAATCAAAAAAAAGCGAAAAGAAGCTGGACACCAAAAAAAACAAACCCACAAAACACAACAGATAACAAAAATGAAAAAACAGCAAGCAAAAAACAAACCAATAAACAACAAAGAAGAAGACAAAAAAAAAAAAAAACACACAATATAAAGAAAAAAAAAAAACACAAAAATAGAAAAAAATATCGCTATAAAAACAATTTAGACACCAAAGAAACGCAAAGAAATAAAAGAAAAGCAACAATAAAAAAAAAAACACCAAACACCTCGCAAAGAAAGGCGCTGCCAAAAAGGCAGGGGGCGGCGGTGATTTGCCGTGGCGTCTTCGGTAACATCCAACCAGGGCTCGATCCAGGTTTAATAGAACCCTGGAATGAGGGAAACCAGCTCCAGGAACATCTCACTAGTTGTCGACCCAGCTCCACTAGAATCGCACAGGGGTCAGTCGGGGCCAGAAACTATTATCGTTCACTGGTCGGCCTGTAGATTTCGATTTACTGGCCCTCATGCCCACATGATCGCTGATCGCGATGAGGCCGACATCTTCGCAACGCGACGCCAACTGTGCGAATCGACCGAACTTGCGATTTGAAGGCGCGCCCAGCACTGGCGTCGCACGACAATTGGACACCATGCCCCGCCGCCTGCAGGAAACTCTTCAGGCGCCAATGGCGCTCTCTGGGCGGCCGGGGGTCGCGGGGGGGTCCACGTCGGCCTGAACGCGCCGAGAAACGACCCTGGGCGTCTGGTGAAACCCAGATCCCCAATCCGTCGCCGAGACGTCTCCACGAGCTTCCACATCGACGCAAGTGGGCCCAATGGCTCCACGGGGGCCACGGGAGAGCCAGTAGGAGAACCCGAGGAAGAGCGCGACAGGCCCCAAGAGAGACCCGATACGCCCTAGAGCGAGACCCCCGCAGAAGCACGGAAGGAACCACTCGCATCCGCCCCGGACAGGGACGCAACCCAGACCCGCGATCGGTGGGATGAAAGATTTCGCGGTTTTGGCCCGCCCAAAACAACAAAGTCTTTCATTTCACTGATCCCGCCTGGCGGGGGTTCCAGGGGCGGACGCCGCGCGCGCCCTGAGGCGGCGGGCCGATCGACGCAAGGCCGCGTCCTCGCTTGAGCGCGCGCACCGATCTGCGGCGCGGCGCGCGCACTCCCGCGCCTGAAGCCTGCGGGAATTAACAGTGCACATGTTCGTTTGGTCATGAAGATTCCCGTCGACAGGGCTGGGTCCAGCTGTAGCCAAATCCTACTATGGCTCGATCCAGCTCTAGCGGAATCGTGCTAGGGCCCCCATCAAGCTTTAATATCTCTCTCTCACTCTCTCTCTCTCTCTCTCTCACACACACACACTGTGAGGGGTCCATCGAACCTTGTCAAAATCCTACTAGGGCCCGGTCCAGCTCTGGTGGAATTCAACTAGGGCTCGATCCAGCTCTGCCAGAATCCCTTTAGGGTTGGATCCAACTTTTGTCGAATCCTGATACTCGGCCCAATTCTAACACAAACTGGCGGGTGGATCCAGCTCTTGCGAAATCATATCTGGATCCAGGTAGAATGGAAGTCCGAAAAAGCTCGACTCAGTACTAATGCAACATATTCCTAGCTTTTGATCCAGCTCTAATAGAATCTACGAGGGTTCAATCCATATTTGAAAGAATCCTACTCGGACGGAACCCAGCTCTAATGGAATCCTAATTGGGCTAGAACCAACTTTCACGGACTCCTACTAAGGTTCGATCCAGCTTTCAACGCATCCCACTAGGGCTCGATCGTCGTCGTCGTCGCAGTCGTCGGCGTCGTTTTCGTCGTCGTCGGCGTCGCAGTCGTCGTGGTCGTCGTGCGTCGTCCGTCCGTCGTCGTCGTCGTCGGCGGCGTCGGCGTCGTTGTCGGCGTCGTCGTTGTCGTTGTCGGCGTCGTCGTCGTCGGCATCGGCGTCGTCGCTGTCAGCGTCGTTTGCTGGCGGTGGCGTCGTCGTCGTCGTCGTCGTCGTCGGCGGGGGCGGCGGCACTGTCGTCGTCGTCGTTGCCAGTGCCGGGAGGGGGTCGAATCAATTTTCCCGGGGGGGGGGGTGAACCTCCCCCTGCCAGCCAGGGCAGTAAGCGCTCTTTCGGGGTTTTGGGGGGCTCTCTTTCAGGCCTTGCGGGGCTCTTCCTGTCGCCACAGCTGGTTCCCCCTCCTCAAGAGGGGTCTGTCGGAAAAGAGGCGATCCGCTAACCGATAGGGCCGCGGGCGTGAAGCCACCGATCTGCCACGACTCCACGAAGCCGCCAAGGGGCAACCAAGAGCCAGCTGGATCCTCCTGCTCCAAAGCCCTACGGGTTTCGGGGTCCAGAAGAGGAGGAGGAGTGCTCCAGGGGTGGAGCTGAGGCCATGGCATCTCTGCTCGCTGCTCCGCCTCCTCCTCTGCCTCCTCACCCTCCCCGCAGCTCCCGGGCCTCGACCTTACCCGCTCGCACTTGCGGACCGCACCCCGAGGCCGCCGGCTTTCAGAGCGCCCGGGGCGACCCCCACTCGCCCTGGACGAGGGTGGCGGGGGAGTCCACCAGGCGGTCGCCGATCTCGACCTTCTGCACGCGCTCGCCAAGCTGCTTCTTGAGCCACGCGGCCACCTCCTCGAGCGGGGTAAGATTGGGCATTGCTGGATCTTCGTGGGCTTCGTGGGGGGCCTTCGGAGACCGTCGGGGGCCCCCATGGATCTTCGGGGGCCTCTGGAGGATCTCGCGGGGGAGACGCGGGAGAGGAGAGGGAGAAAAGACTCGACTGCCGCCTGAAGTGCCGACGACTCCTGGGCTAGAGGCAAGGGAGGGGACGGGGCAATGAGGGAGAAGAAGGGCATAGTGAGGGACAACGGAGGGGGGAGGCAGCGCGAGCGAGAAAGAGAGATGAGTAGATCAGAGCGGGGGAAACACTCCTCCTCCTACTTCTCCCAAGATGCATTGATACACTTTCCTTATGTATATCTCTCTCTCTCTCCCACTCTCACTCACTCTCTCTGTAGTGGGTCCTGTGGCAAACAGGTCTTGGACCCAGGATTTCCCCCAGGATCAGCTTTTTCACCCCCGAGCAGTTGTTTGAAAGTCCTGGGGCCCGTCGAGGGCCCCGAGAGCCTGAGCATGGTGAAACACCTCGGGGCCCCGCTTCCCTCAGGACCGGCGTCCTTCACTAGAACAAGAAAAAAAACGGCACAAACATGAACTGTTGGCGCTCCGCGCAGATTTCTTGGATCTGCGCTGGACTCCCCCCTCCCTGGCGCGTGGAGCGTGCCGGGGGCGGCGCCGGAGGCACCGCCAGGTGGGGCCCAGCGCGGATCCAAAAATCCGCGCGGAGCGCCAACAGTTTACGTTTATAGCGTTTTTCCTCCTTCGATTCATGGCGGAACAAAAGTGACCCCACGAGCGGCGCACTCGTACGCAACCTCCGGAGAATCCAGCGGGCAAGAGCAACCGATGGTGCCCTGCGCGGCGGGCCCGTGTGGCCAGCAGTCAGAGCGTGGCCACTAGAGCGTGGATCAAGAACGCGAGACCCTTTGCCGAAAGACATGGGCCGAGATGCAGATACCCAAACCGACGAACATCCAAAGGCGGGGGGGTTGTTGGAGACGGCAGGGTCGTCTATCGACCGTTTCCAAAAATCTTGACCCTGGGAACAGAAGAACTAAGCACAACAACAACAACAACAACAACAACAACAACAACAACAACAACAACCAACTGTTCGCCGAAACAAAGTAACTGCTCAGGGATTGAAGCCAGGTCCGAAACGGGGGAAAAGACGGCGACGGAACCAGACAACAAAAAAGGGCGCCGGGACTGGGTCAGATAACGGCAAGCTTCCAAGAGAACCACTGGGGAAGCAGAAAAGCCGAAGCACTCGGGCACACCTCCGAAGCCGAGGCTGTTCTTGACCCTCTTGCCAGCTGTATATGGACCTACCAGGGCATATCAAACATGCACGGGCAGATGCGCGCAGGCTCAATTGGACGAGCACCCACGCGAATCCTCCTCCTCCTCCTCCTCCTCCTCCTCTGCCTCCTCCTCCTCCTCCTCCTCCTCATCCTCCTCCTCCTCCTCCTGCTCCTCCTCCTCATCCTCCTCCAGGGGCAGCTGGGGGGGCAAACTCGTGGGCAGGATCCTACGCATCCTCCAGACAACCCGTCGGGGGAGGGCAACTAACAGTGGAAGTGGTGGAAAGAGGAAGGGAGATGAACGGCCACGCAGGGATCACGAAGCAATCGCGCCAACTTGCTTCCGGACCCCCGTCCTCGTAGTCCTTCGTAAGCTTCTCGAACTTGGACTTCTCGTCCTCCGTCTTGTCCAGGTCCAGCCCCGCCTTGTTGATGTCCACGAGCTTGCGGCCGTCGAAGTCGACAATGCTCTGGCTGCAGATCTCGTCAAGGGGGTCGACCATGTAGAGAACCTCTCGGCCCACTCTGCTATGACGAAGCCAAGACGAGGATAAACTCGGGTGAGGATAAATTGTGAATCTCTGAGATCCAGCGGTTGTGGAGAACGTATCGGGCGCCACGGCCTTCTCAGAGCGTTTGGGGGTCGACCATGTAGAGAACGTCTTCAAAACATTCTGGAAAAGAGTCACAACTATTCAGAAAATCGTCCCCAGACTTTTTTGACAATTTTTTGACCATTCCTCCTGTAGAGGGACATGCCCGACTTCAACACATCCTCGTCCTGGCCCCGCCCGGTCTACCCCCCCTCTGGTCCCCCTCCAACCCCCCCTCACCTCCCCAAGACCCGCGACGACTCGAGCCGCTCCAGTCCCCGGCCACAGGTGCTCGCGAACGCTTTGCCCCTGAGGCCGGCATCGAGGGAGGAAAAAACACCCAGACAACAGACAATTGGCGCTTACTGAACGGCCCTGGGCGTCTACAGTTGGGGCGTTGACCTAAGGAACCCCAAATAAGGAACGGGGCCGCTTTCTCCCATAAGTTGAACTTCGATGTCCCATAGGAAACCTCAGGACAACCGAAGGTACACTGCAGAACAAGCAAGGAACACCGAGCCCCTCCCCAACGAAAAGGGTTCCTTCTTCAGGGCCCCGACTGTACTAAACAGCCCTGCCCTGTTTGATTCCTCCTTTGGGTGCGGTTCCTGAACGGCCTCGCGCGTCGGGGTGGTTTCTTTTCGGGGTGGGTCTCCTGCCCTCGACAGCAGCTCCTCCTCCCGGGTGGCGTGGCCGCCTCCTGCGCGAGCAGGACGCGGGAGGCATAGCTCCGCCTCCTTCGCACAGCACCTTTCCGCCGGACCTGCCTGGGGTGTGCGCTCGCGCCAGAACTGGGGGGGGCTCACCTGTGGCGGTGGCAACAGTGAAGGGGCCCTGGGACACACAAATAAATACACACACATCAAAGGATTCCCCACATATTCCTACATGTTCTGGGTTTTTGTCTCCCCCCCCACTTCCCATATTTTCCCATATTTTCCTGGGAGTGGGCGATTAATTGTGTCTGTGTCTGGGAGGCCCCCCAAAAAGATGCCAAGAGAGAGCTCGACAACGTCGTTCCTCGAGGGAGGGGGAACGACCGGCGGGAGCTGGCTCATAGGGAGGGTGGCAGTGCTCTGGAGTCCACGATACATCGCCGATACGTCGGCGATAGGCAGGCAGGCGCGCCCTGGAGTCGAATCGACGAGTCGGATCGGCGATCGAAGTGAATCGGATCGGCGGAAACCGGCAGCCGAGCCGGGCAGAGTCGAATCGGCGGGCATCGGCAGCCCCGTGGGCCTCCCCTGAAACATCGGAGCCCAGATCGGAATCCGAAGTCGAATCCCATCGGAATCGAAGCGAATCGGAGGGATCGAAGCGAGCCCAGCGATGGGCCCCAGGTGCAGCGAGCCTGGGCCGTCCTGCGCAGCGCGGGCCGTCGGGCCCTTTTATCGCCGAGGCGAGGCGCGACGGCGCGGGTTCTCCTCGCGCCCTCGCACGGGGGGGCGCTGCTGCGCCACGGGAACTCGACGCGCGGAGCCGCGACCACCTCCGCGCCCACCCCCCCCAGGGGTGACCTGGGCCGTCCTTCGCGAGACGATGCCCGCAAGTAGGAGGCAACCACTGGGAGGTCCTCGTCGGAAGGATTAAGGAGGATTAAGCCCCACTGGGGCGGCTGTCACGCTGGAGGGGGCCTCGGATTAAGCGGGGCTAAGCCGGATGAAGCGGGATGAAGGGGGATTGAGTCGGATTTCGGACCAGGGCAACATCAGAATTTGACTTCCCAAGAGTTTCATCCGAAGCTTTGGTATCGTTGTCCCCCGTTCTGTCTTCGTTCCGCCTCTGCCGCAAAGCGAGATCAAAGCGAAACAAGTCCTCGAGATCGTCATGCTTTCCTTCGCAAGCAGGACTCGAGCTAATCAATACTTGCCGTCTTCGCTCTGTTTTCGTTTTCCCCCGCTCTGTCTGCGTTCCACCCCTGCCGCAACGCGAGGTCCGTGGGAAGCCAATCCTCGAGATCGTCAGAGCACGGTGTAGGCCGAGCCCTGGATGCGAGCACGCAGGGAAGCCATGCGTCCTGAGGGACACGTGGGCTGGACGGCGAAGCACGCGTGGATCCTGCCGTGGGCTGGCTGAGCTCGGGCAACCGCATGGAGCCTGCCGAGGAAGCCATGCCCTGCTGTGCACTTCGGTGGCCCATCGCTGCCGCGGGCGACCTCGCCGTCCGCGCGGCATAAAGCATAGGCGTAGCCTCTCGAGAGTCCGCGCGGAGGACACCCCCTCCTGGGCGCGCGGAGCGCGCCAGTGGAGTCGCCAGAAGCCGCCGCCAGGCGGGGTCCAGCGATATGGGGGACCGGCACAGGTTGGGGGGGCATTGAGCTGGGATCGCCGATACATCTTGGCGGCGCGCGAAAGGGGGTAGTGGGAGGGGGGAAGGCTTCTTAGCACACTGAATCTTAGAAGGCCTCGGCCTTACGTCTATAGAGAAGGCCCGCGCCTTCTAAGAAGCAGGGGTGCTTCTAAGAAGCCTTCCCCCCCGCCCCTACCCCCCTCTGCCCATTGCCGAACATCGCCGATAGACCGGCGAGAGGCCCCCGACAGCAAATCCGCACCATTCTGGGCGGGGTGGGCTGTCGATGCGCTCCCCCTGAGCCTACACCCTCCCTGCATTCAAGAGAGGAAAACCAGCATAGACACCCTTTCTCGAAGGTCATCGTGGATTTCTTAGATCGGCGCTGGACCCCCTCCATAACGCGCGGAGCGCGCCAGCTGCGCCGCCGAAGGGGCCCAGCGCAGATCCAAGAAATCCACGCGGACCTCCGAAAGTGTATGTTTATGCCTTTGTGACTATTCGATATATCCTCACCTAAGGGTGACCCTGATCCGGGACGCATGAGGAAGTACGAATATTTTGTGCCTCCGTTGGAAACGCACGTCTGACCCGAGCATGTAGTACACAATATTGTAGCAGACAGTTTCCCAAGCGGCATGGCCAGAAAGCGCCCGCCTCTACACTACTAGGTTTGCGAGCGTGCGCTGCTCCCTTGCGAGGCCGACGCACATGTAGCAGAAGTATGATTCGATGGCGACGACTCTCTTGCCCTTGGAACCTCGTAGCCCTTCGCCTTCATCTTCTCCATGGCTGGCGCGATCTCCGCCGCCTTCTTGCCCTCGCCGGTCACGAAATAGATCTTGTCCTGGCCCTCCTGCGGGCGCCGCCCGGCGCCGCCCAGGCCCGGCTTTCGGTAGGGGGCCAACTGCGAACCCTACCCCTACCCCCCACGACTTCTGAGGGGAGGGTGGGGTACGGTTCGCAGTTGGCCCCCTATTCGGCGCAGACCCTGTGCCCGAGGATCCAGGAGAGGGGGAGGAGGGTCGAGGGTCGGGGAGGGAGGAGGACGGACGCACGGGCGCCACTCCGACGACGCTGCACCGGCCGAAAGGGGCCGGGCGCGCAACGCGCACAAAAAACGCGCAGCACGGCACCCGCAAAACATCCGCCCGCGAGACCCTGCCACGCCTGCGCTGGAATTCGGAGGAGGAGGAGGAGGAGAAGGAGGAGGAGGAGGAGAAGGAAGAGGACGAGCAGGAGAGGAGGAGGAAGAGGAGGAGGAGGAGGAGGAGGAGGAGGAGGAGGAGGAGGAGAAGGACCATCATCTCTGGCTCCGCATGCCGACCTGGACTCTGCAGGTGCCAGCGGGTGTCGTCAGGCCACCGCTCGCGCGGCTGGTGGCGCGGCCTGCCCTCCGCTCGCGTGGTTCGGCTGGCGCTCCACACCCCGTCGCGGAGGAGGGGGGGATAGAGGGTCGGGGAGGGAGGAGGGTCGAGGACTGGAGGGCTCGAGGAGGGGGTCGAGGATCGAGGAGGGATGAGGGAGGAGGATCGAGGATCGAGGAGGGAGGAGGGAGGAGGATCGAGGAGGGAGGGGGGAGGAGGAGGGAAAAGGACCGAGGAGGGGAGGAGGGGGATCGAGGAGGGAGGGGGGGAGGGAAGATGGCAAATCGACCCTGAGCTCCCGTCCTTCGCTTTCCCGCGGCCAGGCCCCTCTGCCCCGGTGCCCCCCTCCTCCCCGATGCGACGCCGAGGTGCTCCCCGGGCCAGTGCCGCTTCGCGGGCCCCCTCGACAGCGACTTCCACGAAATCCGCTCGGGTCAAGCACGCTTTGCTCTGACGCTCGCTCGGCAATTGCCTGGCCATCGCCCTCTGCGTGGGCCGGCTCCTGCCTCGGGCGCGGGGTGGGCAGGATGTCGTCGGAGACATCTGCGATTCCCGAAGGCTGTCGCTGAAGTTTCTTTCTGGCGCCTCCTGGGCCATGCCCCTTCCTAGAGGCCTCCCAGATAGGGCCCGAATAGATGGGGTCGAGGGACCGCGCCGCATCGCCATTGCATCGCCGATGTATCGGCGATGCGTCGGCGATGCATCGGCGATGCATCCGCGACGTCGGCGATGCACCAAAGCGACGTCGGCGTGGGGAAGCGCGGTCTCCACAGTGAGCCGCATCGTCGATGCATCGGCGATGCGGCGCGATCCTCCGACCCCGTCTGCTCGGACCCCGTCTGGGAGGCGTGGACTTCCTGTGGGCCGGAGCTCGCACTATGCTTCTCCTCCAGCCAGGCTGCAATTAAGTCGGGCATGTCCTCCTACAGGTGGTTTTTAAGTGAAAAATAGAAAGCCCTTGTTCAAAGTTCAGATATTCCATGGCACAAGTTGCACTTCGGCGCAGCGATGCTCTCCTCCCTGGTCGACGCCGCTTGGGTACAAACGCGTCTGCTCTCGCCGCCAACTCGAGGCTGGTGTGCATGACAAGCCGTGGACAGCAACACCAACCGCAGCATTTTGCTTCTGCCGGTACTTCGCCACCGGGTTCCTGTACAAGGCGTTCCTTTGCAAGCACATCGTTTTCGGCACCGCCTGTTCCCAAGGTTTTGCCTCCTCCTGGCCTCGCCGTGAGGCCGCGCTCCTTCTGTCCCCCCTTCTTTGTCAATTCGAACTTCGCGCGGCCCGCTCAGCTTCGACCGGAAGAGGTGCGCTCTCGATCCGCGAATCAAAACATTGTTTAAAGTTGAGAAGTAAGTTACAATGATCAATACATCGTCCCCAGACTATGTTCTACTTCGTTTGAACATTCCTCGTGTAGAGGGACAGGCCCGGCTTAATGTTGCAATCGCCAGCCCTGCATGCGCCGCCGATCCGAGTCCCCCCCGGGGGCCCCCCTCGCCCTTGACCTTCGCGGGCGCGGAAGAAAAAATAGCCTCAAATCGGGCGTGTCCCCCTACAGGCGGATTTGTGATTGCATATCAAAAACTCCAAGACATTCAACCATAGTCAAGAAATATGAAAAGATTCGCCCCCTACTCTTCCTTGGCTATGTTTGAAGACTCCTCCTGTGAAGGGACAGGCCCGACTTGAAGATAGCCCACTGCCAGGCCTGCCTCAGCCCTCTGCAGCTCGGGCTCGAACGTGCCGGCGCTCTTCATGCAGGCAGGCGCTCCCAAAAGAAGATGGGCTCCCCCGTTTCCCTTAGGAGGCAACTACTGGGATTGAACCCCATTGGGGGATTAAGAAAAAGCTTAACAACGAGTAAAAAAGATTGAGAATCCCCGCAGGAAATATTCAGAAGGATTGAGCCCCCTTGGGGGCCTGTTGCGCGGGATTGGGCCTCGGCTCGCGCGGGGCTAAGCCGGGTGAAACAGGATTGAGCAGGATTGAAGTGGATTGAGCGGGATGAAAACAGATTTCGGACCAGGGCAAAGTCAGAGTTTGACATCCCAGGAGTTGCGCGTGGATCCCCCCCCCCGCCCTCGGGGGAGCCCGAGAGGGGCGCGTCCAAAAGGGGGTCTCGCAGAGCATGGCCGGAGACGCGCGCGCGCGGCCCAGGGAAGGGGGGGGGGGGGCGGCCGAGGGCCGTCGCGTCGACGCAAGCAGAGCGGGTGCGTGAGATCTGAGAAGATCGCATTGACTCGGACATGCGACCCCCCCCCAAGTCACCACATTCGGAGGCCACTACTGGGAGGTCTTCGTCGGAAGAACGAAGGGCGATTTAGTCTCCGCGGGGGGCTGCCCCGCCAGATCGGGCCTCGGATTAAGTCTCAGCGGGGCAAAGCTGGATGAAACGCAGGCTTGAGCCGGATCGGGGCGGGGCGGAACCGGATTTGGGGACCAGGGCAAAGTCAGAACTGTGTGTTTTTGTGCGTGTGTGCGTGTGTGTGTGTGTGCGTGTGTGTGCGTGCGTGCGTGCGTGTGTGTGTGTGTGTGTGTGTTAGTGTGTAGGTGTGTGTGTGTGTGCGTGTGTGTGTGTGTGTGTGTGTGCGCGCGCGTCCTGCCCTCGAGCAAGGGTCGAGACGCGACGACCGCGAGCGCTTCAAGGCGCACTGCCAACGCTTGACGCGGCCGCCAAGCTCGCGCGTGCAATTGCACGTCTCGTCCACAAACCAGTCGGCCATCTTGTCGATGTTCCCCGTCGCCTCCTCGGGGGAGATCAGCCACGGGGCAGCCTCGACGTCTTTGTCTAAATCTGGCATTCGAGACTTGAGGACGCAAAGAACGACCTCCTCCAGCGCCTCCTCCTGGGAGATCGTCGTCTTCCATTCTTTGAAGCCTGCCAGCTTCGCGTACTTCATCCCTGCTTGCTTCGGCGCAGCCGCCAACTTGATGTTACCCATGTCATCTGGGCCAATGGTCGGGACACCCCCCTGCATTGCCTCACGGGTGCGCTTGCTCGCCTTGTTCACGGCTGGCGTGATCTGCACCTGGTCCATGGCCGTTGCCACAGCGGCCTCACTGATCGGCGTCGCCATGACGACGACTGTCGGCGACATGCTCGCCACGCGTAGCACCGCCGCGCTGCCTGGGCCACGCTGGCGAGAGGGAGGGCAAAAAGCGGGATGGAGCACTGGGAGGAGTTCCATTGCAATTGCATTGTTTGTCGGCGCGAGGCCGCCAAGGCGGCCCCCCCTTTCAAACTGAGGCTCTCGCTCGAGCTCCAATTGAGGCCCTCTCGAGGTATCCTAGGAGGGAGGCACCGTGCGAGACGGTGCCCAGAGGACGGGGCCTCTCGGGGCGAGCGGGGAAGGCCCAAAGGGAGGTGCTGGAGGTAGAGGGCGGCCCCCCCTTCAAACTGAAGCTCTCGCTCGAGCTCTAGCCCGGAGAAGCAATTGGGACCCCCCCCCCCCGGCGTTATCATTAGCACCGCACCGTGCTTAAATATTTTTGTTTGGGGGCGTCGCCGAACGATATAATTAGCACCGCGCAAATGAAAGGAAAGTAAATCCGCCGACCCTGTCGGCGTGTGTGGGGGGCTTCTCCGTTCGACTCGTCGTCTCCGTCGTCTCCGTCGTCTCCGTTCCCCCCCGCCCCAGGGCTCTCCTCCTCAAGCTCGCTGCCCTAAGCGAAATTCAACGACGTCCTAATGGGGTCGAAGGGAAGCCCCTTCCCTTTGATCCCTACCCCGCAAGGGGGGGGGGGTCCCGGGGCAGATGCGACGCCCGCCGGGGCGCGCTTTCCTCGAGCGGGCAAGCGCGGGATGCACTTCCTCCTCCTCGTGGTCGTCCTCCTCCTCCTTTTCCTCCTCCTCCCCCTCCTGCTCTTCTCCTCATTCTCCTCCTCCCCCCCCTCCTCGCCCTCCCCCTCCTCCTCCCCCTCCTCCCGCAGAGGCGTCCCGGGAGCGGGCCCCGAGTCAAAATACCCCCCCCCTAGGGCGCATTTTCCTCGAGCGGGCACGCCCGAGATGCACTTCTTCCTCTTCCGGGAGCACGCCCCAAGTCAGCATATCGCACTCCCGGGCCGTACTTTCTTCGAGCGGGCACACAAAGGATGCACTTCCTCCTCCTCCTCCTCCTCCGCCTCCTCCTCCTCCTCCTCCTCCTTCCCCCTCCTCCTCCGCCCTCCCTCTTCCTCCTCCTCCTCCTCCTGCTCCTCCTGCTCCTCCTCCTGCTCCTCCTCCTGCTCCTCCTCCTCCTCTTCCTCCCCCCCTTCCTCCTCCTCCTCCTCCTCCCCCCCTTCCTCCCCCTCCTCCTCCTCCTCCTCCTCCCCTCCTCCCCCCCTCCTCCCGCCTCCTCCACCTCCCCTCCCCCCCTCCTCCTCCTCCTCCCCCCCCCTCCTCCTCCTCCTGCTCCTCCTCCTCCTCCTCCTCCTCCTCCTCCTCCTCCTCGTCCTCCCCCTCCTCCTTTTCCTCCTCCTCCTCCTCCTCCCACTCCTAGCCCTTTCGATCAGGGTCGGCGGCGCCGGCCGCCAGGCCTCTCCAATGCTTCCTGCGCCCCGCCTCGGCTGGCATCCCACTTGGAATTTCAATAATAATAAGAATGCGAATAATAATGAGAATGCGAATGAGAGCAATAATAAGAATAAGGCGAGTGTTACAAGTACTGCTGACACCGTAACTGTTACTGCTACCGTGATGACGATGATGATGCTGATGACGGCGATGGTTTCGAAGCGGCCTGGGCAGGCGACCGGAACTCCAGCCTGGAGTGCGCTGAGCGAGTCCCCACCTTGAAATCTGCGGGAACTGCGGCCAGTAGTATTGCGCTGAGGCGCTGAATCTCTGAACTGCGGCCCGAAGACTGCCGGGGGGAACTCAGCGCGACATCTGCCTGACAGGCTAAGCTCGCCCTCCCCTCCCTGCCGCCCCCTGTCCCAGGGCGAGTGGGCCGATCCGCCTGGTCCCGTCGCCGTCGCCGTCGCCATCGCCGTCTCCTTCTCCTTCCCCCCCTCCTCCTCTTAGCCACGAGTGCCAGAGCGGCGCCTCCAGGGTGCGGGGCGGTTATCGCATCGCCGGAGAGGGAAGGGGGGTCTGCAATTGCCCCCTCGGGTTAACAGAGGCCCCCTCGAGGCATCCCGGAGGGGGGCGCCGCGCGAAGCGGGGCCTATAGGATGGGGCCTCTCGGGGCAAGCGGGGAAGGCCCAGAGGGGCGTCCCGGGGGTAGGAGGCGGCTCCTCCTTCAAACCGAGGCTCTCGCGTCCGTCGCCCAAGCGCGCACGCAGGAAAGGCCGAAGGCCTTGAGATAGCTTTGGCGGTCGGCGCCGTTAGAAACAACGACGACGACCACGACGACGACGACGCGAAGCCCGGGGCCGATCGCCTGCGCAGCGCCTTGCTGCCGCCGTCGAGGAGAGGAGAAAGGAGGGGGGGGAAAGGGGAGGAGGAGGAGGAGGAGGAGGAGGAGGAGGAGGAGGAGCAGCAGGGGGGGGAGGAGGAGGGGGGGGGGGCGAGGAGGAGGAGGAGGAGGAGGGAGGGAGATGGGACGAGGACGAAAGTAGGAGGAAATGGAAGGAGGAGGTAAATGAGGACGAGAAGGACGAGTAGGAGGAGGAGGAGGAGGAGGAGGGAACCTTTTCGGGACCTCCTTTGGGGGCCTTTCGGGGCAAGGTCGGCGACCGCGTCGCGAGGTATTTGGGGGGCCCTAAATGCCTCCGGGACTCTGGGCTGGCCAAGCCCCGCCTCGGGCTGCTGCGAGGCCGTCGCGGGCCTTCGGCGGTCCCGCTGGGGGATTTCCTAGCCGCCAAAGACGGCCAACGTGGCCCCAAGACGGCCAAGGAAACCCCCGAGAAGCCTTCCAAGATGCCCCGCAGACCGCCCCAAGACGGCCCAAAAGGCACCAAAAGGCCCCCACGGGCCTCATGAGGCCCCCAAAGGCCCCCACGATGCCCACAGAGGCCCCCGAGAGGACCGAGGAACCTCAAGGTCCCAGGGGGGCCGAAAAAAAAAACGCACACAGAGACTCCAAAACGGCCATCCTCGCCCCTCCCTCTTCCCCCCCTCTCTTCTCCCCCCTCGCTCCTCGTCGGCCTCCCTCCCTCCTCCCTTTGCCGCTCCCTCCTCCTCCTCCTCCTCCTCCCCCCTCCCCCCTCCTCCTCCTCGGCGTGGGTGGAGAGCGTCGGGGAGCGCCTTCGCCTCGCTGTTTTTTTTTTGTTCCCATCGAACGCTCGGCGCCCCCCCGACGCCACCCTGTCTGCTCGAGTGCGCGCGCCCGCCTGGCTATTGCAGCCGCGGTGTTCCGAACCCCATCCCTGGGGACTTTGATTTCCACCGCCATCACCAAATGTTGGAGGGGGGGGGGAGGGGGGGAAGGGGGGGGGAAGGAGGAGGAAGAGGAGGAGACCGGGGGGGGGGGAACATGGAGGAATGAGGTAGTGGGGGGAAGTAGGAGGGGGGGAGGATGGGGGGGGGGGAGGGGGAGGAGGAAGAGGAGGCGGAGGGGTTGGAGGATGAAGAGGCAGGAAGAGGTAGGAGGTAGGAAAGGAGGAAGAAGGAGTTGGGAGGGAGGAGGGCGGGCGGGGGGAGAGGAGAACGATGAGGATGAGGCTGACGAGGAGGAGGAGGAGGACGAGGAGGAGGACGAGGAGGAGGAGGGCGAGGAGGAGAAAAGGAGGAGGAGGAGGAGGGGGGGGAAAAAGGAGGAGGAGAAGGCGGAAGACCCCCCCTCTAACTTATGGTTGTGGCAATGGAAACCAGGTCCGTGAATCCCCGCGCCCTAGGGGGCGGCGTCGGCCGCCAAATCCCTCGGGGCGCCCGGGGCCCGGAACTTGGACCTGCCAGACAAGGGGGGGGGGGAAGGGGGGGGGGCGCCGCAGGAACAGGAGGTGGAGCAGAAGAAGGAGAAGGAGATTGAAGGACGGGAAGGAAACGCCACAGGAAGAGCAGGAGGTGGAGGACCGATTTTTTTTGAAAGATTTGGCAGCCGATGTTCCGAAGCGCGGCCGGCGCCGGCCGCGCGCTCAAGCGCCCCCCGCGGCTGCGGCCAGCGACGGGGCGGGCGCTGGGCTGGCCTCGCCGCGAGGCGCTGGCTTCCCCTTGCGGGGGCGGGGCCACCAGGCCTTCAAATCCTCGGCGCCCGCGCGCCTCTTCTCGCGGCTCGTGGCCGGAGGCTCCGGCATCCGAGGCGCGCCCTCGATCGGCCTTCCAGTCGGACACCTTGTCGGCGTGAGTGAAGTTTGGGCCGCGCGCGCCGCCTTGCATCCCATGCCCGGCCACGCCTCGACCGGAACTGCCGCAGGGCGCTCGCGCTCCGCGCCCGCGAGGGCGCCCTTCTCCGCCAGGGCGCCCCAGTGCTTCCGCGCCGCCGAGTCGTTGTCGGCGGCGGCCCCCCGGCGAAACTTCGCCGCGCTAGGGCCCCCCTTCAGGAAGCCTTCCAGACCCGAACCGAGCAGGAGGCCCCATCCGACGAAATGGCCGAGGACGCGCGGGGTCATGAGCCGCACCCCTCTTTTGAACACGCAGGTCCCCAAGGCTGCCACCAGGCCCGCCGCCGCCGCCTGGCCCACAAGGAAGGGGCCGCGGGGGGGGGGCAAGGGGGGGGCACACGGGGCCGACAAGGGCGAGGGGGCGAGAAAAAAGAGGCCGAGGAGAAAGAGGAGTGAAGGAAAGCAAAGACCTTCCACTCCGCCGTGACCCCCTGGAAGACGGGCGCCTGGCAAGCGCGCGTCGCGGCCGCGCCCGCCACGCCCGCCAGCGTCAGGCTGTTGAAATCAAGATTGTGCTTGCTTTTACGGCCTCTCGGAAGCCTCCGCCCTTGGACGAATCTGGCACCCTTCGCATTCACGTTGCTCTTGTAGGCCCCCATCGCGTCCACCAACTGCCCCGGCGTGGCGCCCAGGGGGAGGTGCTCGGCGATGAACTCCGCCAGGTCTGGCGCGCGCAGGAGCGCCATGGCGAGCGACCCCGCCGCCACGGTTGGGCCGAGGGGGCACCGGGCGAGGAGAGATCTGCCCGCTCTCTGGATCGGGTCGGCGTCGCCCTTGTTCACGGAGTGAACCCAGCTCCCCATGGATGCGCCCCTCATGGTGTAGCCGCCGCCCTTGCGCGAGGCGATCGGATGCACCTGGGAACTGAGCATGGGCAGGTCAGTCTTGCCAAGAAGGCGGGCGGCGATCACCTCAGCGAGAAGAACGCCCATGACCTCCCACACGTCTTGGTAACCCGCGTCGGAAGCGATCCAAAACAACACTGCCAAAGTGCTAGCCCACCCCGCCTTTGCTGCAAAGGAGTGCATGATGGCACGTGCCCGCTGAGCGCCCTGCAGCCGCCAGTGAAGTGGCCGGGTGCTTCCTCACACTCCGGCAGCTCCGAAAGTTTAGCCTGAAGGGTCCGCGCCATGTGTGGGCCTGTGCCTGAGGGCCTGAAGGGAGCTCGTGCCAAACTGAAGGCAAGAACCTCGAGCTAAAATGAGAGTGGGGAATTGAAGGAGGGAGGCGACGGGCAGGGAGGAAGGATGAGGGAGGGAAGGGGGAGGGGGGGGGATAGTGAGGGAGGGAAGGATGAGGGAGGGAAGGGTTATGGTGAGGTTCTCGGGGGCCTCAATGGTGCTTTCTGGGGACCTGCTTGGCCGTGTCGGAACTAGAACGAAACTAGAACGAAAGTAGAACGAAACTAGAACGACACTAAGACGAAACTAGAACGAAATTCGTTGCGACATCTGGTTTTTCATTTTCGTTCCAATGTCGTTCCAGTTTCGTACCATTTTCGTTCTAAGTTCGTTCCATGTTCGTTCCTCCCCTCCTCCAGTTCCTCCACCTCCTCCTCCTCCTCCTCCTCCTCCTCCTCTTCCTCCTCCTCCCCATCATCATACTCCTCCTCCTGCAAGCGACGCGCTCCTCGTCCAAGCACTCATGATGCCGATGGCGGAAACCAGCCTCGATGTGCCGTCGTCGCCCACTTGAGGCCCCATATGCTCCCACCCCTCTTCCTCGGGAACGGGGGATTGTGGGGGTCCTCGCCTTTCGAGGGTTGTTTCGTATGGTTTTCGTCCTTTTCTCCTCCTCCTCCTCTTTCTTTTCGTTTTCTTCCTCCTCCTCCTCCCCTTATTCCCTTCCTCGTTCTCCCTATCCTGCTCCTCAACTCCCCCCCCTCCTTCTACTCCTCCTCCTCCCCCTCCCTCCTTCCATTCTTTTTTTTTGGATTCCGTTTTGTGAGGATTCCTTTTGTGAGGCTTTCCCATAGAATTCCTTTGTGCGGCTTTCCAATAGAATCTCTTGTGATGCTTTCCAAAAGATTCCTTGTGTGAGGCTTTCCAATAGAATTCCTTTGCGATGCTTTACAAAGGATTCCTTCTGTGCGGCTTTTCAATAGAATCCATTTGTGGTGCTTTCCAAAGGATTCCTTTTGTGAGGCTTTCCAATCGAATTCCTGTGTGATGCTTTCCGAAGGATTCCTTATGTGCGGCTTTCCAATAGAATCAATTGGTGGCCCTTCCCAAAGGATTCATTTTGTGATGCTTTCCAATAGAATTACTTTGCGCGGCTTTCCAATAGAATCCGTTTGTGGTGCTTTCCAAAGGATTCTTTTTGTGAGGCTTTCCAATAGAATTCCCTTGTGCGGCTTTCCAATAGAAACCCTTTGTGGTGCTTTCCAAAAGATTCCTTTTGTGAGGTTTTCCAATCGAATTCCTGTGTGATGCTTTCCGAAGGATTCCTTTTGTGCGGCTTCCCAATAGAATCCATGCGTGGCGCTTCCCAAAGGATTCCTTTTGTGATGCTTTCCAATAGAATTACTTTGCGCGGCTTTCCAATATAATCCATCTGTCGTGATTTCCAAATGATTCTTTTTGTGAGGCTTTCCAATAGAATTCCTTTGTGATGCTTTCCAAAGGATTCCTTGTGCGCGGCTTTCCAATAGAATCCTTTTGTGTGCTTTCCACATGGTTCCTTTTGTGAGGCTTTCCAATATAATCCATCTGTCGTGATTTCCAAATGATTCTTTTTGTGAGGCTTTCCAATACAATTCCTTTGTGATGCTTTCCAAAGGATTCCTTGTGTGAGGCTGTCCAGTGGATCTCTTTGTGATGTTTTCCAAAGGATTCCTTTTGTGAGGCTTTCCAATCGAATCCCTTTGAGGAGGAGGAGGAGGAGGAGGAGGAGGAGGAGGAGGAGGAGGAGGAGGAGGAGGATATATATATATATATAGAAAGAGAGAGAGAGAGAGAGAGAGAACGAAGAAAGTGGATGGGAGATGAAGAGACGTGGGGGGACGGGAGAACATGTATGATCAGAACCCACCAAAAGGTAGGTATTGAGGTGGGGCGACCTTATCATTAGCATTAGCGTTAGCGTTCGCATTCGCATTAGCACGAGCAATGGCATTATCATCAGCATTAGCATTGGTATTCACATTCGCATTAGCATTCGCGTTAGCATTCTCACTCGCATTAGCATTAGCATTAGCAGTCGCCGTAGCATTAGTATTATCAGTGGCATTTACAGTAGCATTGGCATTATCATTAGCATCAGCATTAGCATCAGCATTAGCATTGGCAGTAGCATTGGCATTAGCATTGGCATTAGCATCCGTATTGGCATTATCATTGACATTATCACTAGCATTGGCATTATCATCAGCATTAGCATTAGCGTTCGCGTTCGCAGTCGCATTATCACGAGCAATAGAATTAGCATCAGCATTAGCATTGGCATTAGCATTAGCATTAGCATTCGCGTTAGCATTCTCACTCGCATTAGCATTCGCATGAGCAGTCGCAGTAGCATTAGCATCATCAGTCGCATTGGCAGTGGCATTGCCATTAGCATTAGCATCAGCATTAGCATCAGCATTAGCATCAGCATTAACATTGGCATTGTTAGTAGCATTGGCATTAGCATTAGCATTAGCATTAGCATTGCCATTAGCATTAGCATTGGCATTATCGTTGGCATTAGCATTAGCATTGGCATTATCATTAGCATTGGCATTGGCATTAGAATTGACATTAGCATTAGCATTAGCATTAGCATTAGCATTAGCATCAGCATTAGCATTGGCATTGGCATTGTCATTAGCACTCGCATTGGCATTTGCACTAGCATTGGCATTGGCATGGGCATTAGCATTGGCATTAGCATTGGCATCACCATTCTCATTCGCATTAGCGTTCGCATTGGCATTAGCATTAGCATTAGCATTGGCATTAGTATGGGCGTTTGCATTAGCATTAGCATTAGCATTTGCATTATCACTGGCATTAGCATTAGCATTGGCATTAGCATTTGCGTTAGTATTGGCATCGGCATTGGAATGAGCGTTAGCATGCGCATTCGCATTCGCATTAGCATTGGCATTAGCACTGGCATTAGCAATGGCATTGGCATTACCATTCGCATTAGCATTGGCATTGGCATTAGCATTGGCCTTAGCATTAGCATTGGCATTGAATTAGCATTAGCATTGACATCCCTCCCCATCCCCATGCTAGAATTTGAAATTAGCATGATAAAGCAGAAAAAACACCAAATATTCATTCAGAAAAGAGGGGCGGAGGAGCGTTTCACTCGATAAAAACCATATGAAAACGACGAGGACCCTCACAATCCCCCGGCTCCTCCTCCTCCCCCTCCTCCTCCTGCTGCTGCTCCTCCTCCTCCTCCTCGTCCTCCTCCTCCTCCTCCTCCTCCTCCACCTCCTCCTCCACCCCCCCCTTTCCTCCTCTTCCTCCTACTCCACATCCTCCTCCGCATCCGCTTCCTCCGTCTCCCCCCCTTTCTCCTCCTCCACCCCTCTGCTCATCCATTTGTTCCTCCTCCAACCCCCCCTCCTCCTCCCCTTCCTCCTCCTTGTCCTCGTCCTCATCCTCCACCTCCTCCTCTTCCTCTCCCTTATTCTCCCCCCCCCTCCCCCTCCCCCTCCCCCCTCCTCCTCCTCCTCCTCCTCCTCTACCTCCTCCTCATCCTCATCCTCATCTCTATAATCTCATCTCCTGATCCCCCATCCTCATCAATCAATCATCATCATCATCATCATCATCAAGCAGCAGCAACAGCATCATCGTCATCAAATCATCATCATCATCAATCATCAACATCATCATCATCATCATCATCAGCATCAGCATCCACAGCTCATCACAGTCAGCAATCATCATCATCAGCAGCAGCAGCAGCAGCATTCATCGGCATCGTCCCTCATCATCATCATCATCACCACCACCCCCACCACCACCACCATCATCTATCACATCCTCAGCAACATCACCACACCCTCCTCTTGCAAGTGGCGCGCTCCTCGTCCCAATCATCCACGGCGCCAATGACAGGCCCACCCCGCGGTGCGCTCGTCGTCCACCATGAGGGCGTACATGGGACCATGCAAACTTCCACTTTGGCATCGCTCCTGATCCTCCTCCTCCTCCACTGGCCTCCCCCTCCGTTCCCCCCCTCACTCCTCTTCCACCTCCTCCTCCTCCACCCTCCTCCTCCTCGTCCCCTCCATCCCCCCCCCCCTCCTCCTCCTCATACCTCCTCCTCGTCCTCGGTCCTCGTCCTCGTCCCCCTCCCCCCTCCTCCTCCGCCTCCTCCTACCTCCTCCTCCTCCTCCTCCTTCCTCGTCCGCCACTCCCTGGGGGGGTGCGTCCTATTCCCCCTCCTCCTCCTCCTCCTCCTCCTCCTCCTCGCCCTCCTCCTCCTCCTCCTCATTCGGCTCTTCCTCCTGCAGGGGACGCGCTCCTCCAGTGGCAAGCGCTTGCCCAGAGGTGTCATCGTGGACCACTTGAGGCCCCACGCCCTCGCACCCCTCCCGCTCCTCCTCCTCCTCCTCCTCCTCCTCCTGATCCTCCTCTTCCTCGTCATCCTCGTCCTCCTCGTCCTCGTCCTCGTCCTCCTCCGCCTCCTCCTTCTCTCCCCTCCTCCTCCTCATCGTCCTCCTTCTCCTCCCCCGCAGCCCCCCTTAGAACCGAAGAGCGCTCCTGGGCCGTCTTTGGCGGCTCTTGGTCCGTCTTGGGGCCGTCTCGGGGCGGTTTTCGAAGCCTCTTGGGAGGCTTCTTCGGGGCTTCCTTGGCCGTCTCGAGGCCATGTTGGCCGTCTTGGGGGGCCAGGAGATCCCCCGGCGGGCCCGATAAGGGCTCGGAACGGCCTCGCAGCAGCCCGCGGCGGGGCTTGGCAAGCCCAGGGCTCCGGGAGGGGGGGGGGGGGGGGGGGGGGGGGGGTAAGTATTATACGAGGCCCGCCTCTAAATACCTCGCGATTCCGTCGCCGACCCTGCCCAAAAGGGTTCCCCAAGGACGATTGCCCACGCAACACCCCCCCACCTCCTCGCCCCTCCCCCTCCTGTTCGCGTCTCGTCGTCCTCCTCGTCCCGTCCACTTCCTCCTCCTTCCTCCTCCACCACCTACCTCCTCCTCCTCCTCCTCCTCGTCCTCCTCCTCCTCCTCCTCCTCCTCCTCCTCCTCCTGAAGCGTAGCCGACGGCGCAACGAGTCTCTCAATCCTCTCTGGCCGACGGTGATCTCGCCAGCTGCCACTTGACCAGCTGAATCAGCTTGCCGCGCCGTGAGGCCAGCAGCGCAATCGGCGGGAGCCCTCCTCCTCCTCCTCCTCTTCCTCCTCCTCCTCCTCCTCCTCCTCCCTCTTCCGTTTGTTTTTCCTCCTCCTCCTCCTCCTCCTCCTCCTCCTCTTCCTCCTCCTCCCCCCCACCTCCTCCTCCTCCTACACGCCTCCTCCCTCTCCTCCTCCTTCCCCCCCCTCCCTTCATTTTCCTCTACGTCTTCCGTCCCCCCCCCCCCAACCTCCACCCTCCCCCTCGTCTCCCCGCCCCCCCCCCTCCCTCCCTTTAAACCCCCCTCCTGTGCTACCCCTCCCCCTGCAAGCGACGCAAGCCTCCAATGCAAAAAGATCGGGCGGCCCTCGCCCAAGCACCCGCGATGTCGATGGCACGCGCCAGCCCCGAGGTGCCCTGACGGGCGCTTTGCTGGTTGAGGCTCGGCTATTTTTTCAAATCGGAGCTCTCGCCAGAAACCACGCTTGGCTCTCTCGAGGCATCCCAGAGGGGGGCGCCGTGCGAGGCGGGGCCCAAGAGGCGAGGCAACACGAGGAAATGGAGAAGGCCCAGAGGGAGGCCCTCGGGCTGGCGGGCGGTCCCGTCTTCAAACAGGGACTCTCGCTAGAATCCACGCGGGGTTCTCCACAGGCATCCTGGAGGGAGGCGCCGCGCGAGGGGGGGCCCAGGAGGTGGAGCTACACAAGGCAAAAAGGAGAAGGACCAGAGGGAGGTCCTCAGGTTTGAGAACGGCTCCTCCTTCAACTCGAATCTCTTGCTTTTAGTACGGGTCATACACATGCACTAGGTACTACCCGCACCAAGGATGCAACTGTGATTGCTCCTGGCAAAAACACCTATCATGGCAACTGTTTTTGGCAACGGAGAAACTGCGCGAATGGCCATGCATCGCCGAGATGCGATTTGACTTTGGCGTCGGCCTTCGCCGAGCCCGCGCCGCCGCCGTGGGCGCCCAATGAGCGGATGTCCCGCAGCAGCGAGACTATCCCTCGGCGGAGCCACGCCCGCCGGTCCTCGCGAGCATCGGAGAACCCGCACTGCTGGAACCGATTGATCATCCACGCGCGCAAGACCATCATGGTGATGCGCGGGTTGGCTGGGTCGTCGTCGTAGTGGTGCACAGTGGCCTGATGCTGCAACCCTTTCTTCCCCATGCCGCCGCCTGCAGGGTTGCGGGCCCACGTTGGCAAGACCTGGGCCCGAATGTCATTATAAGCTGGGTGGTCTGTAAAAGTGAAGTAGCCGTTGTTCTTGGAATATGACCCAGGGGCCGCCCGTGCCTCTGCGCCCACACCTGAGTCATCATCGGAGACCTCCTCGTGCACCTGCTCTTCGGCCGCGGGGTCGACCTCAGAGACGACGCTGTTGGCGTCGTCAGAGTCGTCATGGAAGCACTGCTCGTCGCCGTCGCTTGCCAGCACGTCGTCGTCGCGAGTCCCCCCTGCAGCCCGCGGCGGCGCCGTCGGGACTGGAATCTTCTCTCGCCCTGCGACTTTCGAGTGCACCCCCCTCTCACGCGCGCCCGCGTGCTCCAGCCGCGCAGCCCGCGCCTCGACGACGTCGGCCGCCGCCGCGCCGAGGCCCCCGGCGTCTGGCGCGCGCAGGAAAACGTCGACCTCGAGGCGCGCGGTCGCGCAGCCCAGCCCAGCCGGTAGGCGAAACTGGTTGACGCCCGCGGGGTCGTTCAGGAGCGCCAAGAACCGCAGGCCCCCCGCGCGCGACGCGAAGAAGAAGACCGCCTTGCGCGGCGACGGGCCCGACCACAACAGCGACGCAAACCCGCGCTTGCGCGACTGCAATTTCCTGACCCACACAATCGGCTCGCAAGAGCGCGCGGCCTGGGGCCGCAGGCGCGTCGCAGCCGGCATCGGCCCCGCTGGCGCTAAACGGCTCGATAGCGGCTTCCGCGAGGCAGTGGCTTCGCGCATCTGCCGGGTGAAGAAATCATCGTTTTTCTCAAACAAGGCCAACCACTGACGGTCGGTGAATGGGGCGCCCGTGAAGCGCGGCGTTCGCTCCGCGCGCGCTGACGCGCTAGCGAAATCCGCCTCGGCTTTTGAACGACTTTCATTCTTTTCCACGCACTCCCTGAAGGCCACGGGGCCCCCGACGTGGCTCGCTTGCCGCATCTCCTCGGGCGTCGCCCCCGCCTCGTACATGAGCTTCCCACGGGGCCTCTGAACAAGATGGGGCATTTCTTTCCTCGCCAGTGCCATGTAGTTCATGGCGCGGCCCTCATCCGCCCGCGCGCGCGCTCATGGACAGCGCAAGGTAGCTGTTTCGCTGGACTTGGTAGGTGCTAATGATTGTGTTCCTGGACCCGCTCGCCACCGTCATCGGGTGGCCCTTCTCGCGCCTGCGTCGGTCCTGATAGCGTTTCCGCTCCACGTCTAAGGAATTGCACAGCAGGCGCTCCAACGTGCCATCTCCGTCGGACTAACACTCGGACGACATCAGGTGGGCCGCCGCCTGTCTCTCCGAGCCCGCGCCCCACGCGCGCTCCTGCAATGGAAGCGAGTACCCCGCGTCCAGAACATCAGGCGATATCGACAGAAAGGCTCGCATCCCGCTCTCCCATCCCGACGCGTTAAATCTCTGCGACACCTCCCACAGCTAGAAAGGGTATTCAGAGAACGCCTCGAATCGCATGACTCTGTGGCACTGGGTTGTCAATGGCCCAGCCACTGTCTCAACGACGTCTATGGATCGGTCCACAGCCAGCATGGGCAACGACGAGGCCAGGTCTTTCGCAGTGTGCTCCTGCACCTCGCCCTGGGGCCAGGCGGGCAGCCAATGGCCGCAACTCGTTTTCCCTGGTCTTCGTCTGCACGCCCATGCAAACGGCGCGGCAACTCAAACGTAAACGCAACGCAGCCTTCCTCAACTGCGCTGGGGTCGCTGGCGCCTGGAACAAAAAAACCAGGGGCCCTGCTGAGCCGATCCGCATTCTCCTTCTGCGGCTTGTTATTGTCCAGCTTGAACAGTGAGGTCGGCACCCCCAACATGTCCATGAGGAGTAAAGCCCACGCGCAGCGCGTGAACAGCCAGAACCTCGCTGGCACTGGCCGCTCCTCCAGACGGAGAAGGTGCTTCGAGAGCGCGCCGAACAGCATGGCGCGCGCGCGTGGGCGATCCTCAAGGCTCACACAGCAATGCTCCCATGCAACAAAATCACTACTCAAGACGCCAAGCAGCGCGGGCGGTATCACCCCCTCGCCGCGCAAACGCTGCAAACTGAACCCCAGCCGGCTGTGTTGGGCGGTGAGATCAGACCCCGCGTCGTGCACGACAGCAAGACGCGCGTCGATCGCACGGCGGAGGTTGAAGGAGAACTCCTCCAAGTAGTCGAATCGAAGGTTAAGTCAGCCGCCGTTCTCTATGGCGCGGATAAGGCGCGTTCCAAGATCCGCAATCTCATCCTTGAACCTGAGTTCTCAACCCTGAGGGTCGCGCGACTATGGCGGGCGCATGTTTTGACACCCCGCGCGAGGATCGCGGCGCCCGAGCGCGAAAAACCGACCCCCCCCCCGCCCCACGAGGGAGCTCCCATGAGGCCCCCAAGACGCCAAGACGCCCCCAGGAGGCCCCAAGAGGCCCGCGCCAAAAAGAGCCTCAAGAAGCCCCAACACGGTCGCCGAGAACCCCTGAATCGGCCAACCACGAGCCCCCGACGGACAGCACTGAGACCTCCGACCCACCACCACCACCACCACCACCACCACCACCACCACCGAGGCACAGCGGCGGGACAGACCACATGCAACTAGATACTTGAGGACCCGCGTGCACGTGGCAGCGATGGGGTCCGCCTCCGCCGCATCCTTCAGAAGTTGCCCGCATATGGCGACGACAACTACAAGATTTGCTTTGTGACTTGCACAAACGCTGACTATCAGGCCGCACCTGATGCCCAACTCGGGTGCTCTCTGGGAATAGTACTGCAGCAACCGCCTGCATGCCGAGTCATTAGTCGGAATGCCGTCGCCAACGATCATGTGAATCACGCGGGCCGTCGTGCAGGCTGGGCCGATCTGGCGGGCGCCTAGAACAATCTGCTCAATGGCCTCCTCTGAAGCTGCCACCATGGCGCGAGCGATTGTTACTGCATCCTTCCTCAGAAGCGGTTGTAACTCAGTCAAGAATTGCTCCGAATCGAAACTGGCGTGGATCCGAATCACGTGGTTCTGGATCGTGGACGATCTCCCACGGGTGGAGCTGTTCGGGCAATAGCTTTTCAGCCGCATGGCGGCTTCGTCGTGGGCGTGGGTCAAAAACACGGGATGCGTCTCGGTGGCGCTGCTGACCGCGCCGCCTCTCTCCACAAGTCTCGCCACGTGTGTCCGGCTGATGTGTTTTAGCACTTGTGCGCCCGCATCGCGCACTGTCGCAGTACCCCAAGTTGAAACATTGCGAGTCTCCACTTCGGGCCAATCGCGGAGCCAATCAGCCAGCGCCCTCACCGGCACGTTCGGCGAGGTCGTCAAGATTCTCGTCAACCATCAATGCTATATCCGCCAGCCACTCTTGGCGGACTGGAAATCCTGCAAGTTCTGGCGCGCCGCAGCCGCCACGGCGCGGTGGTGCCGCACGGATCGTTGAAAAGAAAACACCTTCCGCTTCAGGGTCTCCAGTCTGGGCCGTTTCCTGCCTGCCTTTCTCCTCGAATCAATCTCCCCTGCGAGCGTATCAGATAAATGGGATATCGCCGACAGGGACGCCTCGAACTCTGCCGACTGTGGCAGCGCAAAGATCGCCCGGTGCAAAGCTGCGAGCTGTTCTCGCGAAGCGCGGGCGCGCTGGCGAACCTCTTCCATGTCAGCCCGCCGCTGCCGACGCAGGCCCGAACCAATGCCTACGGAAGTGGTGAGAAGTGAACAAGAACCCCAGCGGCGGGCAGTAGAAGGCAACATCAACAAAGCGTCGTAGCATGTGCGGTTTGCGACCAATGCTAAATGAGTCGAGGAATGAGCGAATCTGAACACACTTTCATACTAACGCGAGTGGAGGAGGAGGGGGAGGAGGAGGAGGAGGAGGAAGAGGAGGAGGAGGAGGTGGAGAAGGTGGAAGGAACCTTTCGGGGCCTTCTTCGGGGGCCTTTCGGGGCAAGGTCGGCGACCGAATCGCGAAGTATTTAGGGGGCCCGAAATACCTTCTGGGACTCTGGGTTTGCCAAGCCCCGCCTCGGGCTGCTGTGAGGCCGTTGCGAACCCCTAGTGGTTCCGCACGGGAATCTCCTAGCCCCCGAGGAAGAGGACGAGGAGGAGGAGGAGGAGGAGGAGGAGGAGGAGGAGGAGGAGGAGGAGGAGGAGGTAGGGGAGGGGAATTGAGTTCACCCTGGGGGGAATGAGCCGAGGAATGAGCGAATCTGAGCACACTTCCATACTAACGGGAGTGGGTCTGACTGCTAGTGGGTGCGTTTGTGATTGCGTATGGGCGCGGTCGAGTCTGCGATCGGGTGATTCTGAGCATGCGTGAGTCTGTGAGCAAATTAATATGAGCGTGAGCGATTCTGAATGTGAGCGAATTTGACTGCAAGTGGGTCACCATAGGACGCACGCGCCCAAACCACCATCGAGGTCGAGACGCCGCGCGAGTACCAAGAGGGAAAGAAAAGGAGGAGGACGAAAACGAGGAGGAAGAGGATGATGTGGAGGGAAGTCAGAACATGACGGCGACAAACAGTGAGACAGCACAAGGGGACACAGGTCACCGAGGACGAGAAGAGGAGAGAATGATCAGGAGGAGGAAGGGTGAGAAGATGACGAACGAGGCGCGAAGGAAACTATAACGAAACTAAAACAAAACTAGAACGAAACAGGAAAAACAAAAACTATTCTTCGACACCTTAAGGATCCCGCGACCTTACACCTAATGATCACTCAGGCGAAAAGCGCGGATGAGGGCCATTTGCCCGCTCTCTTCGCCCGCGACCTTGAAGAGAGGTGCTTGTCCCTGGTCAATTTCTGAGGGGGGTGCACTCACGGGGCCCAGGAGGCCAGGTCGGAAGAGGTGGGGAGGGAAAATGCATGTCGTGATTTGGCTCAAGAAAGGAAGGCTGATTCACCTCTCTCCCCCAATCCTTACGGGGGAAGGCTGAAACAAAGCCGGAGTAAGCCGGATGGGGCGGGACTGAGCAGGACTGAATCGGATTTCGGACCAGGGCAAAATCAGAGTCTGACGTCCCAGGAGTTGCATCCGAACGCACGGGGCCACCGCCTGGCCAACTGGAAAAAAACACAACATGTTGCCCAGGACAATACATCATGATCGTGGCGTGGCCTTATGTGGGGCACAGTCGCCCCGCATCACGATGATGCGCGATAAGGCTCGTGGCCTGGGGCCCGCGAGAGGAAAACAGAGACGCTGGTGTCGCCACACGGGGCCACCACACCACGTGGCCAACTGGAAAAAACACAACAGCTTGCCCTGGATTTTTCTAACATGCTCAGCCACTCGGCGACTACAACAGGTGCGGTTTGCGAAGGGTGCGGTTTGCCTCCCGTCATATCTGCCCCTCCCGCCCCCGGGAAACGGATGACACTGTCACTCAATGCGACCGAATCACATGACACTGTTGCTCCTTCTGGCACAGTGGAGCACACATCGAGGATGACAATGTCGCTGGAAACGACGACAAACATGACATTGGCTATCAATTGTAATCGCCGAGCCATAGCCTCGCGCAGGTCTGAGCGCGGGTTCGTCCCGCACCCCCGCTTCTCGCCTGCGTGGCAGCCCGGGGCCACCGCGACTCTTCCACGGACCAGGGGACGGGCCGAGAGAAAAAAACGGGGCGGGAAGGCAAACAGGCAGGCAAGAGCAGGCAGCGGGGCTTGCTCAGAACAGAACCATGATGATCTTGGCGTGGCCGTGTGCGGCAGTCGCCCCGCATCGCAGGGATGTGCGACAAGGATGCAGGGGCCCGCGACGCCCAATTCGAAGCTCTTCGAACGGGGCGCGGCCAACGCAAGTTGAAAAGCATGGGCGGAGGAGGCAAGGATGCCAGGGGTACCCTTGGGAACGTTGCCCATCTTTTCTGTCCGGCGGGCGCTGACCGAGCGTCCATAGCGCCGACGCGCCGTGCCCGGGTCAGGCCACCTGCACCGAATTAGGGGGGGAGGGGAGGGCCCCCACGACCCTGGCCAGCACAGGGGAGTGCGCGGCAGCGGGATGGTGGGGGGGCGTTGCCTCCGCGAGCGTCACTGGCAACGCTCACCTCAGACCAGGAGGTGCCACTGACCACTCTGTACACCCTAGCGGAGCGGGTGGGCCCAGGCAGCACGGCTTGCCCACCGTGGCGGGTACTCTGAAAATGCCCCGGCCTGACGGCAAGGTTGCCCATCCTTACCGTTCGGGTTGATTGTACCATGCACGACCAGAGTGGTCAAGGCGAGGTCTGGCCCCGCGGAGAAAAAAAAACAATAAAAAACATAGCATGCTTGGCGTGGCCACGGGAGCCCGCCACCGCTCCCGCAGGAGGAAGCAGGAAAGGCATGCCTGAGCACCAAATGCAATAAACTGTTCGGACAACAAGGGGGGGCACGGACATCGCACTGTGCCGTGCGACCTCCCCCCCCCGCGCGAGCCTCGGAAACAGCATGATAACAGGCCTGGCCACCGCGGCGTGAGAATACATCGTCGGCGGACGACTGTATAAGAAGGAGCAATACCCATGCCGCTACCCTCGCCCCGTTTTCCCCTCGTTGGGCCTCCTGGGAGGCCCTCGTCGCCACCGTTGGATTCGCCTCGAAATCCTGGTCAGAGCGCACCCCGGGAGAGGTCCAGGGAGTAGCGGTATCGGTACCGTTTGGTCTCCCCACACTTTGGGCGGCAACATGAGGAAACGCAAGCAGATGGAAACAAAAATAGTTAAATTCTGCAAGGCCTTGGCGGGCGCGCGCGGGGCGCCAGAAATAAAACTTAAGGCGATGATTTATCAGAGGGGTTGCACTACCCCTGTTCCGATCTGGCATGGCCGGGTGAAAAAAGATGACCAGAAGCCCACGGCACGGAACGCAACCGGACGCGGCCCGCATAGATGTTTCCAGCTCCGCCGTAACAAACATCAATCAAGCGCACACTAACATGGATTAGCGTGGGCGCCAGACCCATGGATCGGCGTAAGTACCTCCGTAGCATGGCGCCAAAGCCGCCTGATTTGACCAACGCCGACTGGTTGGGAGACGGAGCGCGCCGATATGTACGGAAATGAGACCCTTTGCTAATCCACGCGCCTTCATCGATGGCTGCGCTTCCTTGGTTCTCCCCCTCCTCCCCCCGAACACGGCCCCCCGTCTCTTCCCATGCTGCATCCTTCATGCGGTCCACGTACTCGGGCAGGCTGGTCATGTTGTCGCCGCTCGTGGAGGAGTAGAAGCGCACGAAACGCTTCAGCTCGTCCTTGTAGTCCAGATCCTCGGAATACGAACAAGGATGATGATAATGATGATGATGGTGAAGATGATGATTGAGATGATTGAGATGATTGAGATGATGATGATGATGATGATGATGATGATGATGATGATGATGATGATGATGATGATGATGATGATGATGATGATGATGATCATCATGATGATGCTGCTGCTGATGATGATGACGATGATGCTGATGCGCCCGTCGGGGACGAATGTCCCTGGCGCCACAGCAGCTCAAGAGCAATGTTATCCTGTTTCGTCTTACCGCCCAAGCTGGGCAAAACTCGCCTGTCAAATCCCGCAATCATTTTCTGGGTCCCGCGTCCCCCTCAGATTTAAAGGGGAAGATCCAGCCCAACTGGACCCAGCAATGGACCTTGCCACGAAACTTTCCGGGAAAACAAAAGGAAAAGGATACGGAGGAAGGAACAAGAGTGGCAGGAGGGAGAGGCGAACGAGCAGCGGGATGGAGGAGGAAGAGGCGGGCGAATGAGGTGATAAGCCGCGAGGAGGAGGGGCGGACCACCATGGAGGAGCAGCGGTGCCAGGAGACAGTGGCAGAAGGGCGAGGTCGACGACGCCGACAACGACGACGACGACGACGACGACGGCAGCGGGTCCTCCACGAGGCCGACCTTGAAGTACTTGCCGTAGTTGCTCCAGAACTGGTCGTACTTGTCGCGCTTCTGCTCGCGCAGGTCGTCGATCGAATCCAGCACCTGGGACGGAGTAGCTTGGAGGGAGGGAGGGAGGGAGGCGGGGTGCCGCCGATGTCTGAAGGGATAGATATGCGGATGCCAAAAAAAATGCGGCAAACCATAATAACGAGATTAAGAACAAGTGAGGGGGGCGTGATGGGACCACCGATGAGGGAGGATGGAGGAAGGATAATGACCAGCACCAGAGAGGGATGAAGGATGATGGAGGATGACCGAACAAAGACAGGAGGAGGACAGGAGGAGACGGTAGAGGGGGTAGCAAGGCTGCCGACATCTCAGGAGGGAGGAGGGGGAAGAGGGCGGAAGGAAGCAAGAGTGGCATGAAAATCACAACCGTTTCAAACACGCGCACCCCCTCCTCCTCCCTCCCCCTCGTCCCGAAGACGCCCACGAGAGACCCCAAGACAACCCCAAAAGATCGCCTCCCAGAGGCTGGCAAAAGGGCCCCCCCAGACAGTCCCACAGGCATCAGAGAGGCCCGTGACCTGCAACACAGGCACGGTGGCGGGGTGGGGGCCGCAGGACACTGGCCTCTCCCTCTCTCCCTCTCGAACGTCTGTGCTAAAACGTGCTATTCTTCCTCGCCGCCCTCGGAACCTTCCTCACGAGGCGCTTCCGAATGATCTTCAGCGTCCGGCTCTTCTGCAGGATCTCTCGGCCCACGTTGAGGGGCAGGTCCTCTGCGAGTCTGGCCGCCCGGCGGCCAGGACGGCGAGGACAGAGAAGAGGGAGGAGGGAAGCTACGCGGAGGAACGACAGGGTAGGAACACCGAGCTGGAATCGCCGATGCATCGCCGATCGGTCGGCGATGTGGCCCGATAGCCGATCCTCTGCAGGGTGGGGCATCGGGCCCCCGATGGGCGGCGAATGGACGATCGGGGGTCGAAACATCCCCCCCTGAGCCTGTCCCCCCTCACGTTGCCCCTGAAGAGATAGGGTGAGGGGGAGAACGGAGCGAGAATGGATGAGAAGCGGGGGGGTGGAAGGGGGGAAATGGGAGAGGCGGAGAAGGAAACAAAAGAAAAACGAGAGGAGAGGTAGGAGGAGGAGGAAGAAGGGAGGACATCGATGTGTGTGTATGTGTGTATGTGTGTATGTGTGTATGTGTGTGTGTGTGCATGTGTGTGTGTGCGTTCATGTGTTTATGTGCGTGTGGTGTGTGCGTGTGTGCCTTTAAGTGGTTCCGTGTTCTGATACCCCTGCAAGTATCCAGGGAGACTTCATACGGACGCCTCCAGTAGGCTCCAGGAACCACGAGACCTCCAGAGACCCCGGGAGGAGGCAGGGTGGAGGACAGGCTCCGAGTCCAGCACCCCCAGCCGAGCCCTGCAGGAACGGGAGGGGGCCGAAGCGAGGAGCACCTCGAGCCGGCCACCTCCGACCGAGACCCCGCGGAGCTCAGACGTCGAGGGGCAGCCTTGTCGCCGCTGGCGCAGGCAGCCGGCGCGGGCACACGAGGGACGAGGAGGAGGTGGAGGAGGATGAGGAGGAGGATGAGGAGGAGGACGAGGAGGAGGAGGACGATGAGAAGTGGGGGAGGAGGAGGAGGAGGAGGAGGAGGAGGAGGAGGAGGAGGAGGAGGAGGAGGAGGACCTCGATCGAGCGGCCTGCATGCACGGGGCGCCTCGACAGGACCCTGCGGGCTACTTTGGGCCACCACGGGGCCCTCGGGGGGAGAGCGCGGCCCGCTGCGCCTCCGCCGCGCTCCCTGGAGGGCCTCGAGCTCCGCGGCGGGCGAGGAGGCCGCGCCGCGCCGCCGGCGCCTCCCGCGGCCGACCGAAGCGCGCCCGCCGCGGCTCCGACGCGTGTGCTGCCTCGCCCTCGGCGTGCCCGCCGCCCGCGCCAGCGGCGCCACCAGGACGACCAAGCGCCGCAGCCTCCGCCACGCCGCGGCCACGGCGGATCGGGAGGGCGTCGGCCCACTCCTCGTCCAGGTCCGCCACGGCCCCCGCCTTCTCGACAGCGGGCGCAGCCGCAGCAGCATCGGGTTGGGCAGGAGCGGGGGCAGGCCGCGCGCGGCGACGACGCCGCCGCCGCGGCCTGGGGCCGTCCCCGTCATCCGCCGCCATCTCGGTGTCCACGACCTCCTCGCTGCCAGTGGGGCCCCCTCGGCCGCCGCCCCGCCGCGCCCGCGCCGCCGCCGCCGAGGGCGGCCTGCGCGGGGCAGGGGGCTGCCAGCGCGTCCGCCTCCTGCGGCGCGGGCCGCTCCGCCGCGGGGCCGATCAAATGGGGCCACGGCGGCGCGGAGCAGCCCCTCCGCAGCGCGCAGCAGGCGGGTCCCCGACGGGAACCGCCGAGCCGCGAGGCCAGAGGCGGCGTGGGCCGCGAGGAGAGCTCCGCGCGCGGCCTCGACGGCGCCGCGGAGCTCTGCACTCGGCTGCGCACCCGGCATCGGCGAATCGGCGACGACCCGAGGGTGCCCGCGACACAACGCTTGAGCGAACTGGGCACTCAGAGGGGAGGATAGGCAAGAGGAGGGAGGGATGCAGGGAGGAGGGAAGAGGGATGGTGAGGGGAGAAAGGGCTGGGGTGGAGATGGATGGAGGAAGGACAGAAGAAGTAGGCAGGAGAGGAGGAAGCAGGGAAAGGTGGAGCATGGGGGGGGGCGCGGGGAGGAGAATGGGATGCGGCGGTGGGAGAGAGAGGTGGTGGAGCCAGGAGGAGGGGATGCGAATGCCAGGGAGGAGACAGGAGAAGCCAGGATGAGGGAGCTCGGCGAACAAAGAGGGCGAGCAAGTCTGGACCCCTCGAGCTGCTCACACGCGACAGCGGGCGAGCTCACCCCAGCAAGCGGGCGAGCAACAAAATGGGACGACTGGCCCTCGGGGGCCGGAGCTGCTCAACTCCTTTCGTTCATCGTCCTAATTGAACGGATACAGGCCTCGGGAAACCCATGGCGTCGTCCTCGCCCTCGCTGGAGAATAGCCAGCGCCCTTGCGCCAGCAAGGGGCCCGTAATGAGCGCTGCCTGGCTGGAGTCTTCTGGATACACATCCGAGGCGCCCAGCCAGGACAAGGCGCTAGCGAAAGCCCAACAGGGTGGCGAGGGTGTGACAAGTAACGACACGCAGCGGCCATGCTCAGCTCCTTGCTCCGAGCCATGGGAGAGCGTCGTGCGCCGGAGGCTTCTGCCAGAACCTACGAACTCGCGCGCGGCGGCAAGCCGCGCAAGCGTGTAGCGACGAGAGACGCCGGCAGAGAACACAAGGAGCGCCGGCGCAGCAGAGTGGCAGGGCAGCGTGTCGAGAGAACAGCACTGCGCTGACACGTGACAGGCGCTGGAGGCGAGTGCTGCCAGGAAGAAGCAGAATGCTCTTCCGTACCTCCTTGTGTGCACATGTTGCCGCCGGTGTGCGCCGACCCACCTTGATCGCGGCCCGCGGGACGCGAGACGCAGAAGCCGTGGAGTTCGTTCCCGCGAGTCGGCCGCATCGAAAGTTTCGCGGGGTGGCAGTCAATCTTTCTGTGCTCGCATGGCCGGCGGCAATTGCCAGATGCAGCTCTGTCGAGGCGCTTGATTTTTGGATGACGGGCGCCAAGCCCACCAGGGCCTGAGGCTTGCCCCCTTCTTGAGCAGGGACCGACCGTCCCGGCATTCCTATAGTCCTACCACGAAATGTTCCTAGAACCCAAAAATGTTCCAAGATCAAAAACAATCTTCTTAGGACATAAACCCGATGGGATAAAACAGGACAGTCCCGGCCAGAAATGATCTAAGAATATTCCGTGGGAGCCACAAAAAAGGTTCGTAGAACATTGCTTGGTGGGGCCATAGTCGGGAGCGGCCAAGAGGGGGGTGTCCAAGAGGGGGGGTGCAAATCATGACCGGCGGCATGTGCGCGGCCCAGCGGGGGGGCCTGGGACATAATGAAATAAGAAGAGGCGCCATGAAATCTGAGGAAAAATCATGACCCGCGCCATGAAATCCACCCCCCCCTAGTCATCACCCCCCTCTTTTCCGCTCCCGATATAGGCGAGCCGGGACGCTTCGCCACTGCTTGACCTTCTGCGGCCGGAAGCGATGCCAGCCAGCGGAACACGCTCCGAGGCAACACGGGGGCCTGGCGCGCGCCGGCGCGCCGGGCGCTGCGAGGCCACGGGGCAGGCCACGAGGCGCGGCGGTGAAGAGGCGACCGACGCGGAGGCACTGCGAAGGCATGCTCCTGACGATTTTTCTGATGCAGAAGCAACTTAATGATTCATCAACGAACAGCGAGCACTCATGCCACATTCATCTGTCAACGCCTCCCCCGCCCCCCAATGTTTGAAACATTGGCGGTGGGTCTGACGAGTGGCACCTCGACCGCAATCTCCCCCGCGCGTGCCAGCTTTGGGTTTGGGGGGAGGGGGAGAGTTCAATAATTGTTTCCCTCTACCGTGTGTCCTCCGAGTCCACGACGCCCCTGACGAAGGTCAGCCAGCGGGGGATCAGATCCTCGAACTTGTCATTGATGAACACGCGCTTCACGTACAGCCGCATGGCGCGGCCTCCCTCCGAGAACATGTCCCGCGTCAACTCAAAAGGCATAGTGGCTGGGATGAACATGAGCGCCCGGAACTCGATCTGGCCCTCGACCTTTCGTTTCAAAATTGGTTTCTGTGGGTAGGTTCTGCCCGAGGTTGAAGGACTCTGGCCGTAGGTCGGGAGTTGTCCGCCTACAGGCGGGATTTTGGAAGGAAGTGACAAATACTCCCAACGATCCCCCGAATGCTCAAAAACAATGCAACAACTGTTCCCTGACGACCTGTTCCACCTGTGGAGACTCTCCACGGGTGGAACAAGCCGTCAGAGCTCAGTCGGGCGTGTCCCTCTCAGAGGGACACTGCCCGACTGCACTCTGCTCCCGCCGCGGGGCCACGCCGGCCGCAGCCCGCGTCCCCGGAAGCTCCGCGGCAGAGACCGGCCCCCCGCCCCCCCCCCCCCACGGGAGGCGGGCCCGGGCCGGGGGCGCGCGCGCGCCACACACGTGCCACGCGCGCCACGCTCGGCACTGCAACCCTCGTCAAAATCAACCTCGAAAATGCCTGACGTGGTTGAACTGCTTGTTCGAAGATCTGGGGCCGAGTATCCATGAGTGCGGGGTACTTGCATGCGCCGCCCCTCCGATGTCGGTCGACGTCAGACTTTCGAGTCAACTTCGGTCAGACTGTCTTTGCCCTCGCCCCGACAGTTGAAGGGGCGGCGTGTCGACATTGAGGGGCGCGCCGAAATCGAAATGACGTGCCAGCAACTTTTGAGGTTAATTTTGACGAGGGTAGTAGGTCGGGCATGTCCTCTGACAGGCGGATCTTGGACGAAACAATAAGACATTAAGCAGTGCCACAAAATAAGCAACAGATGCTGGAAAGATCGCCCTCTGACTATTTTTGGAATACGGTTGAACATTCCTCCTGCAGAGGGGCACGCCCGACTTCAACTTGGCACGCGTGCCACACGTGCCCTCGACCTTGAAGTGCGTCGTCGACAAGGGCTCGTCGAACGCCTTGAAGGTGGTCTTGTAGAACTCGGTGTACTCGGACTGGTTCACCACCTCTGGAGGCCCTTCGGAAGACACACAGGCAGAAACTGTTAACGCCCCTTGAGATCCGACATTGCGACAGAATTGCAACATCGCGAAAAATCACGCCCGGAGTCCCGGACCCCATTTTTCTGTACTTATCAATTTGTCGAGCCGGATCGATCTGTGAGGGTCCTGGGGCCCGAATGTGGGCGAAAACGCCCAGAGTTAACACAAGTGCAGCGACAGGACCTCGGGATCCGTCGACGATCTCTCCGCTGGTGGCCCGACTGACTACCTACCAAACCACCCCAACCCAACCCGAAGACCCGAATTTCGGGCTGGGGGGGGTACGGGCTTCATGTGTGTTTTCTCAACGTTCCCCGACCCCCCCCCAACTGGAAATGGAGGGCAAATTGGGGCCTTCGGGTTGGGTTGGAGTGGTTTGGTGGGCGGTGGCCCGACGCCCCATCTCTTTCTGGGTGTAGCCGTCGTACCAAGTGCTTCTTCTTCCGACCACGCCGAGCCCCGGCCGCGAACGGCCCCCCCCCTAACCGGATGCAGGGAACGGCCCCGACACCCAGCTTTGGACGCCCGAAATGGGTACCGAAAACATGGGTACAATGCCCAACAGCAAATGTTGTCCCAAACCAACGGCGGCCGCTGTTGGGCGGGCGGCCTCCTGTCTCAAATGGACACAGGCCGCGGCGGCGCGGACAGCGAGACCTGTTCAAAATGAACAGGAACTGCTGTTGGGCATCGTACCCATTCTTTCCGTACCCATTTCGGGCGTCCAAACCAGCCCTCCGGAGCCCGAGCCGGTGCTGGTTGCCGCGTTCTGACTGCACCCTCGGCCCGTATCATGATCGGGGATGGACAGAGGCCCCTGTAGCAAAACGTGGTTCAGTGAAAGCGACCTCGGGCCCAAACCTGGCGGGCGCAAGCCTGGAACATGACGGCCGCGGCGCCCCCTCGAGAGCCGAAAACGGACGATTCACTAATCGACGCGTCAGGGTGGGGGTTCTGTCTACCCCCGACACGAGGATGCGCGATGAGGATGCAGGGTCCTTGAACGCCCAGTCTTAAGTCGGGCCTGTCCCCCTACAGGGGGATTTTCGACGAACAACAATACCCCAGAAAAAAAAACAAAAAATAATCCAAACATAGCCTGGGGACTATTTTTTGAATAGTTTTTGACCTTCTTGGAGTATTCTTGGGGTATCTGTTGTTTTTCGTCGAGAATCCCCCTGTAGGGGGACACGCTCGACAGAAGCCCAGTCCGAAGCTTCTCGAGCGGGGCGCGGCCAAGGGAGGCGACCTACGGCGGGCCGAGGAGCAGGAGGCAGGTCGGCGGCGAGCGAGCGGGGGCAGCGAGAGGGGCGGGCCTTCTCAGAAGGCTCGGAAGTCCACGGGCCTCCTGAGAAGGTTTCGACGCTCTCCCAGAAGACAAGCCAAAAAACTTCTCGGAAGGCGCGGGGGCTTCTGAGAAGTCCCGCCGCCTTCTGAGAGGGCCTTCTCCTCTTCCTTTCCCCCCCTCGCTCGCCGCCGAGCAAGGGTACCCTTGGGAAGGTTGCCCATCCTTCCTGTGCGGAGGGAACAGCCCGAACACCTGAGTCCTCCCGAGCCCACGTTGGTGCGGGTTTTCGCGTCTTGACTGTACAGGAGGAGCCCGACCACAAGAAACCTTCCACAACAAACCCAGCTCCATGGATTTTTGGTTTGGGGGGCGTCACGCCTTCCATGGCAAAAGCATCGAAACCCAAGAAACCCAGGGCGCACCGGAGGCAAGCAGGGCGTTTCTTGGCAGGTGTCTCCACTGTAAGGGGCAAAGCAATCATGGTTCTCTCCCCTCCGAGATGCGCAGCCAGAACATCGGGACAGAAGCGGAACCAAATCGAGATCAAGATCGAGGCAAGCGAACTCGACGTCGGGTCGGACCGCTCGCATCGGGATGGGCCATGTCACCTCCGGATTGCGCAGCCAGATGGGCTTCATCTTGTTCATGACCTCCCACTCGTAGACCGAGCGCGGGACGCTCTTCATCTTCGGCTTCTCGCCCTCCTCCGTCGACATCGTCGTCTTTGTCGTCGTCGTGCTCCTCCCTCCATGTGCGTGTCCAACGCCTGGGGAGCCGATCATCCAGGACATCAGGACGGGGCGGCCTCAGATCTGGGGAATTCCCAGAATTAGTCAGGGATATCCACAACCCCATATAGAGAACTCCTCCTTTCTCCTCCGTTTCCTCCTCCTCCTCCCCCTCCTCCTCCTCCTCCTCCTTCTCCCCTCCTCCTCCCTCCTCCTCATCCCCCTTCTCCTCCTCCTCCTCCTCCTCTTCCTCCTCCTCCACCACTCCTCAAGCGCAGTCAGTCAGCCTCCTGCACGCCACAGGATGGAGGAGGAGGAGTGGGAAGAGAGCGAGTGCGGAGGGGAAGAAGAGGAGAAACGATGAAGAGGAGCTCCCTCCCTCTCGCTTTCTTCCTTCTCCTTACAATGCTGCGTCTCTCTGGCATTCAGTAGAATGAGACCCACAAGCGAACAACTGCGAAGACAGTAGCAAGTGCAATGCAATCAGGGAGGATATCTTTGGTGAGGGGGGATTGTTGCGCGGATGTGCCGCCAGGCGTGAAAATCGGCAGGGCGATCCAGGAGGCCCCCAAAGGGCCAACAAACCACCCAAAGACCTCGACACTCGACTCTCCCTCCTCCTCCTCCTCCTCCTCCTCCTCCTCCTCCTCCTCCTCCTCCTCCTCCTCTCTTCCTCGCACCTCCTGGAGGGTGTCCGACGACGACAACGACGGCGACGACGTCCTTCGGAGGCGGGGCGGACTCGTCTGGCACCTGGTCGTACTGGACCTTCTCGTTCCACAACTCGATCGGGAACGTGATGAACTCGCTGTACTTCTTCAGCAGGTCGGACAACTTCCCCGTGTCCAAGTACTCCTGCAGGGACCCGGCGAGAGTGGGTTCAGGGACGAGGCTTAGTTCGGGCATGTCCCCCTACAGGGGCATTTTGGACGACTAGTTAAGAAAAAACTGTTCGAAAATACTTACACGTGTTCAAACATCACCAAACATCGTCCCCATACATACTATTTCTGATATATGTTTGGATATTCCTCCTGTCGAGGGACCGGCCCGACTTCGGACGAGACCCGCGGACGCTCCTGGCCCCCCTCGCCCGCCGAGGGACCTCCCGGGAGCCCTCTGGCTGGCGGGAGTGCGATGGTCCGTCCCTGCCCACGCTGCCTCGAGCAGGGGGCACAGGCCAAGGAAGTCATGAAGCGAATACTCGTGCCGCATTCACCTGCCAATGCCCCCCCCCATCGGGGATGGACAGACCCCCTTTAGTACAACGTGGTTTAGTGAAAACGACCTGATGCCCAAACCTGGCGGGCGCAAGCCTGGAAAATGACGGCCACAGCGCCCTCTCGAGAGCCGAAAACAGACAATTCACTAATCGACGTGTCACTGTTGGGGGTTCTGTCCGCCCCCGACCCCAATGATCGATGTTGGCGGTGGGTCGAGCGAGCTGCGCTTCGGCCGCAGTCTTCCCCGCGCGTGCCAACTTTGGGCTTGGGGGGAGCGGGGGAGTGACCACCAGTTGTTTCCCTCTGCCGTATGTCGACCCCGATCCCAGGCGTTGGGAGCTCTGTGAATGGACGGGAGAAGCTCTTGGGCCCAACCCTGGAATACACGATCTGGTGACCGAGGCCAAAGTAGGCTGGAGGCTCGAGATTCTCGAAATTCATTGATCGAGGCGATCTTGGTGCTCGAAAAATTATTGCTGGTGATTTCCCGTGCATTTTTCCGTTTCGTACGTGTTTTTTTCGCTCGATGGTCCAGGATCGTCGTCAATGGCACACGTCCGAGCGATGCCGGGGGGGGGGGGGGGGCGTCCAGCCGCCTCGGCAAGGGGTGCTTCCGGGGATGGCCCCCGTGGGGGTGCATCCCCGAGCCCAAGGCTTCCCACCTTTCCCCCTTGGCTCTGGGCGGCCAGACTTCCGTAGAGGGGCCCAGGGACACACACAGGCAAAGGAGCACAGATCCCAGGACCCCCCACAGTTTCCAAATGTTTTCTGGGCTTTCGTCTCCCACCCCCCACCTTACCATACTTTTCCCCCATTTCTTTGTTGGCAGTCGACGATTCATTGTGGGTGTCTGTTCTCGCCCCTCCTGATTCTCGGGCAGAACTCGGGGACTAGAGGTCTCCTAGATGGGGTCGAAGTAGCTGGGGTCGGAGGATCACGCCGCATCGCCAATGCAACGGCGATGCATCAGCGATGCATCGGCGATGCATCGGCGATGCACTGGCGACGCATCGTCGACGTGGGCGATGCATCGGAGACGTCGACGTGGCGCAAATGGGGCTCCACATCGAGCCGCATCGGCAGTGCATCGACCATGCGGCGCGACTCTGCGACCTCACCTGCTCCGACCTCCTCTGGCAGGCCCAAGAGATGTTCCCCTCGTGATTTCCAGGCGGCACTCGGGGCTTAGGTTAAGTCGGGCGTGTCGTCCTACAGGGGGATTTTCGACGAAGAATAAAACATACCCTCAAAATGCTCAATAAATAGTCCAAACATGGTCTGGGGACTATTTCAATACTGTTTGACCTTCTTGGGGCATTTTTTGGGTATTTCTCTGACATTTGAAGGGGAACGGAACATTACATAAACATCAAAAATCTCAGAGGTCCGCGCGGATTTCTCGGATCGGCGCTGGACCCCCCTCCCTGGCGCGCGGAGCGCGCCAGGGGCGGCGCCCGAGGCGCCGCCAGGGGGTCCAGCGCGGATCCGAGAAATCCGCGCGGACCTCCGAGTTTTTGGTGTTTTTTTTCTTCGGAAATCCCCCTGGAGGGGAAGAGCTCGCCTGCGACGGCTGCCTCCCGCTGCGGCTGCCCCGGGGACCGCAGATCGAGAGAGCTCCCGCGGCCGCCCCGCCCCACGCCTCAGGGCCCCCCCGCGCCAGGCCCCTCCGGCAGCTGGGGCGCCAGCAGGGGCATTCCCCCTCCTCCTTCCTCCTCCTCCTCATCCTCCTCTTCCGCCTCCTCCTCGTCCTCCTCCTCCTCCTCCTCCATCTCCTCCTGCTCCTCCTCCTGCTCCTCTTCCTCCTCCACCTCCTCCTCCTCCTCCTCTTCCTCCTCCTCCTCCTCTTCATCCTCTCCTCCTCCTCCTCCTCCTCCTCCTGCTCCTGCTCCTGCTCCTTCTCCCTCGGGATCATGGGCGCGCTCCGGCCAGGATTTCGAGGAAAGCCTGGCAGTGGCGACGAGTAAGACAAAGCCAGGACGAGGATAACATCGAACGAGAATCCATCGGAAACCTCTGAGATCTGGCGGATCTGGAGGAGGTCTCGAGCGCCGCGGCCTTTTCAGAGCGTTCCGGAACACTCTGAGAGCGTTCTGGAACGCTCTGGAAAGGATTTATCCTCGTCCTAGCTCCGTCCGAACGAAGGCTCTCCAGGACAACCAATGGTATCTGCAACTGCTATTCCTATGAAATCACACCTCAGCGAGGACCCGGCCGCCTGGCTAACTTCGCGCTCCACGCTTCGCGCGCAGCGTTGGGGTGGCCATCGCCCTTGCACATGTAAGTCGGGTCAAGCGAATTCTGGGCGGATTTGGGACGCCCCATCGGCACTTCGACAAACCGAACCACCCTTTCCTTCCCCCTGGAGAGCCCAGAATCGAATCGATAAGCCGAATCGGGGATCGAAATGAATCGGATTGGCGGAAATCGGCAGCCAAGTCGGAAGGAGTCGAATCGGCTGAAATCGGCAGGATAGGTAAGCATCATGGGGAAAACGGAATCCAAATTGGACTCCGAAGTCGAATCGAATCGGATTCGGAAGCCATCGACATCGAATCGAATCGAATCGAAACGGAGGAATCGAAACGAGCCCTGCCCCCCCCCCTCCCTGGCCGCCCCCCTCCCCCTGCGTCCTGGGCCTCCTCGCGGAGGTGCAGGATCAGCTTCGTGCCGCTCTGCTCGCCGAAAAACTCCTCCTCGGGAGCGGGCTGGATGGTGAACTCGTTGCCCTGGGAGATCCACCTCCAGGCCTGCGATCAGCCGTGCGGCTCGCCCGGAGCGGCACCCGCACGCTCCGACGCGAGGCGAGTCCGCACCAATCGAGGGGGGAGGACGAGGACGAGGTGAGGCGGCACGCAAAAGGAGGGGGAGGGGGAGGAGGACCGACACCGAGGGGAGCAGGAGGAGGAGGGGGGGCGAGGAGGCTGGCCCTGCTGGCTCGCGCTCGCAGCACGAGCGCCGGGGCGGGCAGAGGCTCGCGGAGCGGGCCCGCAGAAGCCCAACCGAGGGGGCGCAGGCCGACGACGCACGCTGCGGCTCCGCCCCCAGCTCGAGCGGCAGACGGGGCCATGGCGTGAACCTCACTGCTCGGAGGGCTGCGCGGGTCTCTCGCATCGGCTCGGGGCCGACCCCCCTCCCTGGCGCGCGGGTCCTCGCCTTGCTCGACTGGCTCATCCTGTGCTCCCCCGGCGCCTCGTGCTGCTCATGCTGCCGCGCCCGACTCCGATGCTGCTCCACATGCTCCCGCTCCCTCTTCTGCTCCTGGTCCTGCCTCTGCTTATCCTTCCCCTCCCTAGTACAGGTCCCTCTCTCCCCTCCTCAACAAACAAGGAGGAGGAGGAGGAGGAGGAGGAGGAGGAGGAGGAGGAAGAGGAGGATAAAGAGGGAGGGAGGAGCGGGAGGGGGAGGAGGAGGAGGAGGAGGAGGAGGAGGAGGAGGAGGAGGAGGAGGAGGAGGAGGAGGAGGAGGAGGAGGAGGAGGAGGGAGGAGGAGGAGAGGAGGAGGGGAGGAGGAGGAGGAGGAGGAGGAGGGAGGAGGAGGAGGAGGAGAGGAGGGAGGAGGAGGTAGGAGGAGGAGGAGGAGGAGGAGGAGGAGGAGGAGGAGGAGGAGGAGGGGAGGAGAGGAGGAGGAGGGAGGAGGAGGAGGAGGAGGAGGAGGCGGAGGAGGAGGAGAGAGGCGGAGGAGGAGGAGGAGGGGAGGAGGAGGGGAGGAGGGACCCCTCCCCTTGCCCTCCCACTCACACACGCACACATAAGATCATCCCGTCCTCTCCTTCGCCCCTGCCCTCTCTCCTCCTCCCTCCCCCCGTCCCCGCCAGTGCCCACGTCCTCCCATCCGTGGTGCTACTCCTCTCGTGCTACTACTGGTCCACGTCCTCCTCCTCCTCCCCCTCCTCCTCCTCCTCCTCGTCCTCCTCCGCCTCCTCCTCCTCCTCCCCCTCAATCTCCTCCTCCTCCTCCTCCTCCTCCTCCGCCTCGTCCTGCGTACCCCCTGTGTGCGTGTGTTCTCGCCGTGTTTCACGCTTCATCCTTCTGTCAATATTGTGTTCCTGGTCTTCGCCACGCTGCTGTATCGTTGCTCCTCTCTTCTTCCTCCCTCCCTACTCGCCCCTTCCTCTCTCCTCAATCGACCCTTCTTGTTCTTTTCCGTTCCCTCCTGTCTCTTTCCTCCTTCCTCCATCCGCCCCAATATTCCTTCTCCACCTCCTCCTCCTCACCCTCACTTCTGCATCATCGCCCAAGTGTTAGCAGCGACACGCCTACCCAGGCTCAGCGGAACGCGTGAAATGGAGAAGTGTCGCTCTGAACTGGGGATTTCGGATCTCTCCTTCCCTCTAAAAACATCGTTGTCATACCTCCTCGTATGCTCCATTATGCATTGCCCATTGCCCATGCTTCTGGTGTCATCTTCCTCCTCCCCATCCGATCAGTCAGTCCTCCTCCTTCTCCTCTTACTCCCAATCCTTGCCCAAATCTTCCCTTTCCTCCGCCTCCACCTCCTCCTCTTCCTTCTTCTCTTCGTCTTCAAGCATATCTATACGTTCTATACGTTCCCCTGGCATTTGATTTGGTGCATTGACAAGCATTTCAGTTTGGGGTTTGCTCTTCTGTTATGGCGCCGTTGGCGGCGATTGGGTGGCAAACTGATGTTGTGGTTTCCGCGTGTTGGTGTGCACTGTCAGGTGTAGTGGTATTCCCACTTCGGCGCACAAGGATTCCGTTCAAAATGAAGTAGGGCGAACGCAATTGCAGTCGTACAATGTTGAGGATAATGATCAATCTGAGGTTGTTGGTGCCGTGCTACGCTGTCTCATGTAGTTTCCCTTGGTGTCCGTCGTGGATGTTCAGGGTGGAGGCTGGTATGTGGATTCGCTACGCGAAGGCTGTAAACTCTGTACTCCAGATTTCGTAATAAAAGGGAGGGGGTCTGGACCCTCCAAGACAAGCCATTTCAGACCTCCCCCCGTGGGAGAACCCTCCAAAACATCGTCCCCAGACCCCCCCAGGCCCTCCAAGATAGCCTGGAAGAGACCCCCCCCGAAATGAGACCCCCCTCCCTTTATTACGAAATCTGGAGTAACCTGCCTTCTTATCCTGCTCACGCTTGTTATCGCAGATCGATCTTCCTTTTGGCATCTGAATTCTTATTAGATCTTATTTGCCATCCTCCTCCCCTATCCCCCATCCTGCTTGCTGCTTGCCCTCTTCCTCCTGCTTCTCCTCCTGTTCCTCATTCTCCTCCGCCGCCCAGTCCTCTCCGCCTGCTCCTTCCCCTCCTCCTCCTCTTCATTTTGGACACCCGAGATGGGCACGGAAACAATGGGCACTATGCCCAACAACAAATGTTGTCCCAAGCCAACAGCGGCCGCTGTTGGGCAGGCGGCCTCCTGTCTCGAACGGACACAGGCCGCGGCAGCGCGGACAGCGAGTCCTGTTCAAAATGAACAGGAATTGCTGTTGGGCATCGTACCCATTCTTTCCGTACCCATCTCGGGCGTCCAGATTCATGATACTTCTCATCCTTTCACCTCCTCGCCCTCCTCCGGCAACAACAGATCACCCTCTGCCCCCTCCGGCCATCCCTTTCACCTACTCCCCCGCCTCCTGACCCACTTCGCTCCCCTCCACTGCCCATCCTCCTCATCCTCCTATACAGGGCAGTTTTGAATACATGGGATTTTCAAACATATCGGATTTTCAATACATGATACATTGATTCATAAATTGATGCATGAACTCATCGTGTTTTAACACTAAATCACTGCATGTATTCATACATGATCCGCACGCGGAGCATGTATCAAAAACGGCACTGCATACTGTCATCCTCACCCTGCTGCACCTCCTCCTGCTCCTGCCGGCGGGCGACCGAGCTCTCCTCGGGAGCGGCCAAGAGGGGGGTGTCCAAGAGGGGGGGGGTGCAAATCATGACCAGCGGCATGTGCGCGGCCCAGCGGGGGGGCCTGGGACGTAATAAAATAAGAAGAGGCGCTATGAAATCTGAGGGAAAATCATGGCCCGCGCCATGAAATCCACCCCCCCCTAGTCATCACCCCCCTCTTTTCCGCTCCCGATCTCCTGCGCATGCGCTCCTGCCTCCGGCCCGCCGGCCTTCTGGTCCGCACCCTCCTCCTTGAAGCTCTTGGACACGACCTCGACCTTGCTCGCCACGAGGAAGGCAGAGTCCACAGGCCCCCGCCGGGCGAGGGGCACGCGATGGAGGCGGAAGAGGCCAGGTGGCGACGGCGCAAGGAGAAGACCAAGCTTGGGTCGGGCATGTCTTCCTACAGACGGGATCTGGAGGAAACGTACCAAAAATCAAAGACATCAACATGAAATAAAAATCGTCCCCGTACGATTTGTTGATTGGTTTCAATATTCCTTCTGGAGAGGGACATTAGGCGCCCGAGTTATCCGGGGTAACTCGGGTCCGGGGTAACTCGGGTTTGGATCCCCGCAAAAACGAGCCCGAATTAGCCCTGACCTGAATTACCCCTGATGATTTGGGGCTCTGGACGCCCGAACTACCCGGGGTAACTCGGGTCCGGGGTAATTCGGGTTCGGAATCCCGAAAAACGAACCCGAGTTAGCCCTGACCCGAGCTACCCCTGATGATTCGGGGCTCTGAGGACATGCACGACTTAACGTCAAGCCGACCCTCGCCGAGAGCGAGCGTGTGACCAAAACGCCGTCTTGCTGGACCCTCCGCCCGCCACATGACCAGGAAGGCACCCGCGGGTGCCTGGGGAGAAAAGCAGCCGCTCATTCCTAGAGGGGCAAGAATCGGCGACGGAGGCGCCAGGGACCCCGCGCAGATCCAAGAGATCCGAAGCGACATCCAAAGTGCGTGTCTGTGTGTGTGTTTAGGCGTGTGTGTTGTGTTGTGTGGTGTGGTGTTGTGTGGTGTGGTGTGAGGTGTGGTGTGGGTGTGGGTGTGGTGTGGGTGTGGGTCAAGTTAGCCAGCTCGAACGAGCGAGAGGGCTCCGTCCACTCCCACCCGCCCTCCCACAACATAAGAAGCAAGCGCGTCGCGTCCGACGCCCGTCGTTTATCTTATATCGTGGGCGGCTAGACGTTCCCCGCGCGCGATGTGCGCCGCGTCTCATATGTGCAGGTCCCGGGCCAGCCCCACGGGCCAGAGGCGTGCTAAGATCTCCGGTAACTAGTTCACAATCTTCTAATTTGCGCGCGCGGGGCGGCCACTGGGGGCCCCCGGACGAAAAAAAACCCGAGCAGGTCCTGGGCACGCCGGTCCCAGCGATGGTTTTCTTCTTCGGCGCTGATTTCCAGGTCCCAGAGCGCCCCAGGAACGCCCCAAGAGAGCCGAGACGCCCCCGAGACGATCCGAGGGGCTCTGAGTCGCCGAAAGATCGTTCCACGACGCCCAAGATGGCCTCCAGACGGCCGTAGCGCCAAGAAACCGCGTGGGGTTGCCCCAGAAGTCCGCGCGCGCTGTGCGCCGCGCCCCATTCCTGCCACGCATTTCGCATCGTGGAGGACAAGACAGGCCATGATGAAAGGAAAAAAGGCAATTCGGTATTCTTTTTTACAATCAGGATGGGAGGACCCGCAGCCCGCATGGACGTCCGCGCGCGACGCGCGCCGCGTCCCATTCCTGCCACATATTTCGCAGCGTCGGCGACAAGGGGGGCCATCTGAAAGGAAAAAACGCAGACTTTGTATTGATCTTTTACAATCAGGATGTGCGGGCCCGGATTGACGGCCGCGCGCGCGCGCGATGTGCGCCGCGTCCCATATGTACACCGCGTCCCACTGCTGCCACATATTTCGCACTGTCGGCGACAAGGCAGGCCATGCTGAGATGAAAAAGCAAAGACTTTGTATTGATTTTTTACGGTCAGGATGGACGGGCCCAGATTGACTGCCGCGCGCGATGTGCGCCGCGTCCTATTCCTGCCACGCTTTTCGCATCGTCGACGACAAGAAAGACAATGTTGAGAAGAAAAACTGCCACTTTGCATTGATTTTTTACAGTCAGGATGGGAGGTCCCGGATCGGGCCCCTATCGGCCGGAATACGAGGTAGGTGGGGCTATATTCTAATAAAGAACAAGGATGTGTGTGTGTGTGCGCGTTCTGCAATTTTGTTTGTTCCCTACCTAGGCTCTGCCTAGAGGGTTCTTACTCTCTTAGCTTAAAGGGGCCGGGCAGTGGAAAGCGCCCCGGGCGGTTCCCCCAGTCCCCGCCCCGCGGTTCCCCCAGTCGCCTGGGAGCTTTAGCTTTAGCTTTAGCTTAGCTTTAGCTTAGCTTTAGCTGAGCTGTAGCTTAGGTTTAGCTTAGCTTTAGCTTAGCTTTACCTTAACTGTAGCTTAGCTTTAGCTCAGCTTTAGCTTAGCTTTAGCTGAGCTGTAGCTTAGCTTTAGCTTAGCTTTAGCTTATAGTTAGCTTAACTTTAGCTTAGCTTTAGCTAAGCTTTAGCTCAGATGTAGCTAAGCTTTAGCTTAGCTTTAGCTTAGATTTAGCTTAGCTTTAGTTTAGCTGTAGCTTAGCTTCATCTTAGCTTTAGCTTTAGCTTAGCTTTAGCTTAGCTCTAGCCTAGCTCCAGCTTAGCCTTAGCTTAGCTTTAGCTTAGCTTGAGCTTAGCTTGAGCTTAGCTTGAGCTTAGCTTTAGCTTAGCTTAGCTTTGTTTTAGGTAAGCTTCAGCTAAGCTTTAGCTTAGCTTTAGCTTAGCTTTACTCTTACTACTAATGCTGCTTTCCTAGGGGCTCCAACTCCTAGGTAGGGTCGCACTGGGATAATTTGATCTTCGCGGCGGAAAGCGCATTCGCTCAAAGAAAGGAGCGGGGAGTGCTCCACGGGGCCCGCGCGTGGCAGGAGCCGGGCAGGGCGCGCTGGTGGCGGAGGAGGGGGGGAGAGGGAGGCGCACGGCGCAGGGCTGCACGACTGCGGGGGCGACGGGCAAAGTCATGGCATCGCGCCAGCTCGCGTCTGCCACGAGGTCGTGTCGTGGCGTCGGCCTGGTTCTCGCAGAGAGACGGGGGGGGGTCCCATGACGATGCGGTGCAGACCGTGGCCTCGAAACCCTGCACGACCTGCTGACCGCGCGGTCCGTCACCGCACGTTCTGGGACCATGGAGGCCCCAGTCACCCGAGGCATACGGCTAATTCGTGTCGTGCCGACTTCGGCGCTGGCTTCTGACAACGCAAAGATCGTGCAACCGTGAACGAGCGGTTATCGCAAAATCAGATCGTTCAACATCGACCGATTCTGGGTCACCGGCGGCGTTCAACCTTGAACGCTGGCGGCCTGGCGGGGTCGCCGCTGGTCGACACGACGCGAACCTACCGTACTCGGAAAACAGCCCAACGGCCGGAGTTCCAAAACTCGGGGGTTGCTCAAGGTGCCCCAGGCCCAAGGTGCTCCCAACTAGATGGTCGCTCCATCTTGGAGCCTCTGGGGCCCCTGGACCTCGTGCGGAGGGGCGCTCTGGAGGATGGGGGGGCCTCCTCGGGCCGGGGGCGCTTCCGGCAGCACCCGGCCCCTCCTCCCCCCGCCCCCTCCCTGGTGACAGCCCCGCCTCGGCCTCGCCCCCCCCCCCCGGCCTCGGCGGCCTCGGCCCCGCCTCGGCCTCGGGAGCCCCAACGCTGCGCGGCCAGCCCGGACCTGCGCCGGCTCACCGCACGGTGTGCGCGCCGCGCCGCGGGGCCCCCGAGGGCGAGGGAAACGAGGGCCGCAGCCGCCCACGGCAGAGCCACCCGCGGCCCCCGAGCACGGAGGGGGGGGGAGGAGGAGGAGGAGGAGGAGGAAGAGGAGGAGGAGGAGGAGGAGGAGGAGGAGGAGGAGGAGGAGGAGGAGGAGGAGGAGGAGGAGCTCGGCAACGGCTAGAAAGGTGCCACCACATTAAACATGCATCAAACAAACTCCAAACGAGTTAGGGAGGGTCCAAGTCCTCCTCGGGCGGCACAACCTGCCGTCGGCGCTCTTGCGCTCGAGCGCCGAGCGATTCAGCCTCTTCCCGAAAGCTGAACCCGTAAAGTGAAAGGCCTCGCTGAAGGTCGACCCCCGTCCCAGCCCAAACCCTCCCAATCCCGCCCGACGAAGAAGCCAGAGAGCCTCTGGATTTAGGTGGCGCGAGCAACGGGAGGTCGTCCAGACCCATCTTGGCGGCGAGGTAGTCTCGAGCTGGGTCCGATAACACGGTCGCTCGCGAGACCCGAAAATCTTTTTTCGAAGGATGGCGGCCCTGCAAAATCCAAGCCAACTGCCTCTCACGACGCTGGGAACGATGGCCCAGACAATCCGACGCGAGAGCAGTCTTGCCACCGTGCCCTCCGACGGTGCAGACTGAACCGCAACGGGTGCAGAAGGCCAGGGAGCCAGCGGCCGCCCCAGCGGGGTCAGTGACCCCACACTCTATGATGTCGTGGGCGCGGGCCGGCCAGACATGGAGGTCGGGCCACTCGGCCCTGCCCTCCTCACCGTCGTCGCCCACCCCTCCCGACTCCCGACCCGTCCCGCCACTCCCAATAGGAGGCCGCCGTACGGAGCCACAATCAAAACGGCCAGGAGGAGAAGGCTCGGAAGGAGGAGGAGGATCATCAGGGAGAGGAGGGACCTCAAGGGTGATGTGCCTCAGCCAATCGATGCCGACATGGTCGAACTGCCCACTGTCCCCGATCCGAGCTTCTTGCTCAGCTGAGAACTTGCACAACAGCCGGGACAACTCAAAGCAACCATCGACGACGGCACGATCAGCGGCAGAGATTCGACCCAATGAGGCGCCTCGCTTGGCATATTCATCGGCAGCCTTATTGCCGAAATACTCGAGACGGCTGAGCTGACCGTTCTCGACATCACGAAGGGTGCAATGGGCAGGAACTTTACGCCACCGCACTCCGTCGAGCTTATCAAACACATGCTGCCACATATGCGCCCGAGCATTATCGGGACAAACAGCTCCCGCGGGGTCCGAAACATACCCGAGAGTTCCGGCACAGTCCCCATACAAGTTGGCCCCAGGGAACACAGTAGCATGGCGAACGAGAGAGACCACTGCATAGTCCTCACCGTCACGGGCGACCTGGGCTGGAGCTTCACACACGGGCACGCGCCCCCAAATCGCACGAGCAACTTTCCCCCACCCGTCCGTAACGATCACCGCCCATCCCGCCGATCGAATCCTAGGGAGGGCAGGCTCGAAACACGAGCCGTCCAAGAACACATGGGCCCCTTCCCCGAGCACCAGCCCGTCGGCAGGCCAATTGTGCCTATAGACCGTGGCCTCAGGGGGTTCGGAGGGGCGCGAGAACCAGCAAGTGGGGTCTGGGAGCACACACCTGGCGAACAACTCCTGGGCCCTAGACGAAAGAAGGCGCACTCTACCCGCTGCCCGGCGCAGGTCGGGGCTCAAAACATCCCGTCGCCACGCATCGTGGGCGGGGCAATCAAATCGACGATGAAACATGGTACCTGATGGGGCCAGGCAGGCCAGGCAGGCAGGGGGTATGTCCTGACAGGCGTCATGAAACCGCCGCTGGCACCAATACCTGTTGGTAACAAGGCTGCGCAAGCAGTGACGACAATGATCAGACCAAGCTGAGCCTTGCTTCGAGATCAGAACCAGAGCCGGCTTGAGACAGATGGGGCCGCGCCATTCGGCTCCAAAATCACTCTGCCTAGCCTGCTCTCCCATTGCAATCGCTTCCTCACACGCCTCGCGCACGCGAAGGGCGAAGAAGGCCGGGGACAACACAGACAAACTCCAGGAGCGACCCGCCTGGTCAATCAGGACCTCGCTTGGGACATCCAACCTCCAACCAATCCGAGCAAGCGTTAACACAAGAGCGGCAAGAGGTTGCTTGGCGGAGCCCCAGGGTTTAGGTTTCCTCGCAGACACGAGTGCATCGTCAAACGCAGAGAGGAGGACCTGCTTCGTGACACTGCGGTGCCACCAGACAGAAACAAATGACTTGACGGCGTCCACCGCCGTCGAAACAAGAGGATCCCGCTGGGGGGGCCCGCAAAGAAGGAAGGTGAGGCCGAGGGGGGATCCAGGCTGGAGGGGGCCAAAAGACCTGGCAGAGGCCACCCTCAGAGTCCTCAGAGCCGAATTCCCAAGACCATTAATGTGCGCCCCCCACGTGGCCTTAGCGACTGGGCCCGCTCTGTGCACCCGAGAAGCCTCCCTCCCCCGCCCAATCTTCGAGAGCCGAATCGCAGCGGCCGACGATTCGAGGAGGCGCTTGTTTTGTACAGGCACGCGGCGAGCCTTGCCGTCAGAAGCGTCGCCATCCAGGTCACGGTGGGTGGTGGCCAGGAAGGACTCGTCGAACGGCCAGTCGGGGTCGTCCAGCAGAGCCTCGAGCAACTCAGGGCTCGAACACAGGAAGCAGGTCGTGTCCAAGTTGAGCGGAAGGTCGAGCTCATTCATCTGAGTGGCTACAATCGTGGCTGCTTTGACCAATTGCCGAGCCACAATGCGGAGAGAACCCACAGCATGCACCTTCGAGTCGTCCACCAAGTTCAGCGGCCGGCAGACAGGCGTCTCAATGGCAATAGTCCGTAAAACGCACAGGGTCATGAGCTTCACGGTGCCAGTCGCGCAGCTGCAACCCGCGATCACCGTGCTGTTGGGGACAACCAGGCGCGAGGTCGCGCCAAGCCAGCGGGCCCGCCTGGGTCCACGGTAGACCGCGCACAGGCATCGCAGCAGCTGCTCGTCAAAGCCGTAGTGCCTGCCAGCCTCGCGCATGGCGCCGTGGGAGATGTTCTCGTAAAACTTCCGCACGTCGTAGTACAGAGTGCCGCTGACGAAGCCGTGGCGCTTAGCATGCACCACCAGCAGGTTGTGAATGTAAGCAGCTCTGTCGGCCGCCGCACCGCCGGACTTGCCCCAAAAGAAGCTGGCATCC